CCTAGAAGTTTAATTAGATCTAAGATAGCGTTTGGGAATCGATATTTTTAACAAATGCCTTTGCTTACTCTTTAGGATATGTAAATTTGGGAAACAGTATAGTAAATGTTATGCTAGAGTCCCAAAAATAGATTGTGTCTTCATAAATGTATTATCACCAGTGGGAGTGAAGAACTTAAGTGGCTGCTAGAAATTTTTCCAGGAGAAATGAAGTAACTTTTATTTTTGATTTTGCTTCATCATGTATGCTGAGAAAACCTTAAGACTTCTCTAATGTTGCTCTTTCTTCTGAATACTTGCATTACTTTGGAGCCATATACTTTAGTTCTTTTTATATACTTGAACTTTAGTTTGATAGAATCATAAGGTTTAGAACTTTAGAAGTGAAAAAGATTTTAGAGATTTTGTCTGAGTTCTTAATTTTGCAGAGGAGATCCAAAGAAATTAAGTAATTTTCTTAAGGTCATATAGTTAGTAACTGGAAGAGCCAGGTCTCTTGGCTAAAGTGGAATAATAGACATTTCAGAAAGTGAACATTTGCCGACATGAATTGATGCAGTTTTGTAAAATGTATTTCTCCTTGGGTTAATTATTGAAATATATATCACATCATATAAGTTTACATTAAAGGCCTTAATGGATCTACTAATAAAGACATGTTCCCAGAGAGTCTTAGTGTTTCTGGATTTTCTCTTACGGCCTTTCTTTGGAATAGGTGTGGGTTTTTGGTTTTTGTTTTGTTTTGTTTTGTTTTTTGATTGTTGGGTGTTTTGTTTTGTTTTGTTTTTGTTTTTGCTTGATGCAGCTGCCCTCTGCTGGATAAGTTATTACTCTTTCTGGCAATGTAGGCTCTTTAAGACTTTGGACAAATTCCTTGACGTATCTGTAGTTAAAATAATATGGTGGTTGTGAACATTAAATGAGGTAATAATATACACGAGTTCTTACTACAGTCCCTGACATCTAGTAAGTCTTCAATAAATGAGAGCTATTATTATTTTATTGCCTAAAAGTAAAGAACTAAGACAAGATAATTTTTCCCAAGTTCTTTTCATATGCATTACATTTGACTTCGTTTCCAATGCTGTTTAAATATTTAGGTCACTAGATCAGGAGAGGCCAGAGATGGTATTTTGTTTTCTCTTTTGGCTTCTATTGCTAGTAAAAGTATTATAATTGTTTCCTTTTCAAGAGGATATATATGGGTCAGTAGTAAAATAATTCATTTTGTAAGTTAATATATTTTTGATATTGTAATTATATATATTATATATTTTCTAATTTTCTGAAGTTCTAGACCATTGAAAGCCTGTCAAATGGTGAATTCCTGCATCACCAGCCCTTCTACACCTTCAAAGTGAGTTATATTTCTTATGTACCCAGAATTTGTATTTTTAAGGATTTGACTTACCCTAATTTCCAAGAGGATCCCCTCCCCTTTTCTTTGTTTCTCTTGTTGCATGATAACTGCTCTGTATTACTATACTTTGGAATTTTCCTGAATCTGTTTTAAATTATTATCTAGGGTCTAACAAGTTTTTAACAGTGAAACAACTTTAAATAATCCTCTCAAAACGTTGTTCTGAAACTTCTTAAATCATGTGTTAATATGTAAAATTTTCATCCTAAAACTCTAGAAATTGACTGATGAGGAGGAATTTTAAGGATTGAAGGGATGAAATAACCTCTGTTGGTGTAAAGCACCATTCTTCAGAGATACACGTGGAGATCCCAAAATGTCTTTTTATCTGTTGCTAGCCAGTCTGGGACTTCTTTCTTAGGCACCGAAATGGAGCTGTTCTGAATGGAGATAGGAAAATAAACACACACTGGAATGTAGCTGTTCTACAAATGTTTTATTGTTTTGTTTTGTTTTTTTATTTTGCTTAAGATCAAGAAGGGAAGCAATTAAACTAGATTGCTTAAACTGTGATTAAACTAGAACCACAGTTCCTGATTAGACAATTCTAAATGACTTGCTTGTCATTGGTCTTTAAAATTAGTTCTTCTAAAAATTTGGTGATCCAAAGTACTTTTAAAAAAGAGACACTTTGTTGTTTAAGGGCTTTGGGGGGGTCTTATATAACCATAAAATGACATTTGGGAACTGCTATTTTCTTTTCCTCCTGTTAATTATTTTTCAGTGCAATTAAAACCAGATGACTAACATGACTAGAAATCTGAAATGGTACCGATATGAATACTCTTGCCCGTTCTCAAGATACAAATGAGCAATACCACTTGGCTGCTTAGAAAGTGAGCAAGTGATGCATTTACAGGATGAATATTTTTCATTACTACAGGCAAGCTGCCTTCTGTGAATATAGTAACTATTAATGGAATGCACTCTTTATGTACCAGATCACTATAGTTTCAAGAAAGAGGTGGTTTCATTGGGCATCATTATACTTGGCATGGTCATCTGTTCTCCAGGGTCTATTGGTATGAGAATTTGAGAGCTGGTCAATAAAGGATTAGGCCCTAGAAGATCTGTCATGCCGATCAAACTTAAAAGAGGCTGAGTTATGAACCAGAATACCATTAGTTCTTCTACAATGTCCTTTGTCACATTTGACCCTGGTACATTAGTAGCCAGGTGTCACCCTCCTTCACAAAGTATGTACATGGATAAAAAAAAATTAATATGTTCAGTTTTGCTTGGTAAGCATGAAATCAGAAATGAAGAATTAAGATGGCTAATTGGCTATTTCTAAGTTATACTAAAACCCTTTTGAAGACATAATGGGAGGCTATTCAAGTGTTCAGGCTAGAGTGCAGTGATATCCTGGCTGCTCTCAGCCACAGACTATATATTTGGGCTTATCACTGACCACTTGCCTCTTTTCTTTGATCTACATTGCTATGCAGTTCTCCTGGTTTCCATTGTGGCCTCTTATTTCTTGGTGCCATCATTCTATATGTTTATTTACAGTTTTCACCTTGAGATTAATTGCATTTTTCCAATTTCCATTTTACTTTTTTTTAGTATAGCATATGAATTTATGTTAACCTCCATCAAAGAAAGTTTGTGCTCTTTGACCTTTACCACTTTTTCCTTTAGTTTATTTTCAGCTCACTTAGAAGACAACACAGTAACACCTTACTTATCTGGTATCATTGAAGAATGATATTTGATATTCCACGTAAATGAAGCTTGCCTTTTTAAGTGTTAATCTTAAAATTTTTTAACCATTTTAGGTGGCTATGTATTCTATGACTTTAGAGAATTCCATACATTTTAAATAAAATATACCGAAGATACCTTAATTATATTGTAATGACTTAGAATTAGCATTATGACTATCAGTTATGCACTGTGTTTTCGTATGCTATTGCCCTCAGAGGCTCTTAATTCTTACAATACAGTTTACCTTTACATTAATTGACTTTATAATTCTTTTTTGCCCTTTTTGTGGTTATTCTCTCTCACTTCTTAGCTCTCATTTCTTGATGAACTTGCTCGTTATTTAATACATCACTTCCTGGGAAAAAAGGGTCCCTGTCTAAAGAGTAAAGTGCATGGGCTTTGAAACTGCTGCCTTCCTCAGAAGCCTTTTTTCTTACTTTTGAATCCCTGTGTTCTGGAAGGTAGAGGTTGCCAGAAGTCTGACCTACATATAATGGATAAGTGGAATGTTACTGTTAATTTTAAAATACATGAATCATAATTTAAAAGATCAAAAATTAGTCCTCATGCACTCTGTTGTCAAAAACATTTATTCATTGCTATGTCTGCATGCTTTCAGTAGAGTACTTGTTTTATAAAGACAGTAACAAACTTCTTTGGGGTTGATCATTAAAAGAAAAAAGGCACAAAGTGTGATTGGTTTACTGATGATATGTAATAGCGTAAGAGTTGTCTCATTTTCAAAGCATGACTCTTTTGGAGTGGGACAAAGGTAATGCATAAATATACCTTTTTGATATATCTTTTTTTCTGTTAAGTAATTTTCTATAATAGAAAAGCTTTTTGTTTTATTTTGTTATTTGTGCATCAAAAGAATAACAAGGACAAATGCTTATTTATCAGACTTATATAGGTTTTTTTTTTCTTAAATTATAGGAATTTCTCCTTCAAATCCAAGAGCTCCTTGGCTTTGTGTCTTGATTCAGACAGTGAAGATGAGCTAAAACGCTCTGTGGCCCTTAGCCAGAGACTTTGCGATATGCCAGGCTGTGAACAGCAGCAGGAAGACCTGGAAAAAGTAAGTAATTTCTTATCAAAATATCTGACAAAGATTTGTATAGCTCTTACTGTAGAAACAAATGCCTTTCATATCCAGCATCAGCAAACTTAATACACAGATTACAAACTTAATGGATTTGTTCAAACACTAGTTTTAGAATGTACTTTCTGTAGCTACAAAATCAGTCTGTTTAAAGATGGATTGAGACTTTTTTTAATTGAAGTATAATTAACATATATTAGTTTCATGTGTATAACTTGAAGATTTGATATTTGTATATATTGTGAAATGATTACCATAGTATGTCTGCTTAACATCCATTACCATACATAGTTACCCCCTAAAATTCTTGTTCTTATAAGAACTTTTAAGATATACTCTCTTGGCTACTTTCATATATGCAATACAATATTATTAACTGTAGTCACCATACTGTACATTACATCACATGACTTATTTATTTTACAACTGGAGATTTGTACCTTTCGATCCCTTTCACACATATATACACACCCTTCACCACCCTCCTCTGGCAAACACCAATCTGTTCTCTGTATCTAAGAGCTTAGGGGTTTTTTGTTTGTTAGTTTGTTGTTTGTTTGTTTGTTTTTAGATTTCACATATAAGTGAGATCATGTGATATGTATCTTTCTCTGTCTTATTTCACTTAGCATAATGCCCTCCATGTCCATTTATGTTGTCATACACGGCAAGATTTCTTTTTTTATGGCTGAATAATACTGCATTTTACATATACTTATATATATGATATATATAAGTATATGTAAATGGGTAAAGAAGATGTGATTGATATATGTTGAGATATATATATATATATATATCTCACATCTTCTTTATACATTCATCTATAATTGGATGCCTGGGTTTTTTCCAGAATTGAGACATTTAAGGAATGAAAGTTGTAGATAAATTGCTTTCACCCGCTAACCTTCAAAACTACTTTTACATATGGGTCTTCAAATAATTACTTGCTTTATTTTGGTACTAATGGTTAATATGGGGAAACCGTAATAAACATTTTACATCAACAGGCTAACCACATAAACTAAAGGTTTAAATAATGGGTGGGAAGGAATAACTACATTATCTTCTATCTTGACACATAATGATAGTTAATATTTTGAATATACAAGGAGTTTGCAGCATCTCATGCAACTGTTTGATTTTAAACCTCCTTTTTGGTAAGATAATTATTTTAGTAGTTTTTTTGTTTTGTTTTGCTTATTTATTGAAATTTCTGGGATAGTTCTAAGTAAAAGATTTACCAATTTCAGTTGTAAAACATTTGCTTGCTACATATCTACATTGCATTACAATCTCTAAACAAGCATATGAGAACAAATTGTCCTCAAGCTAGGAATATGTATATGTATATAGTCCTCAAAGTAAGAATATGTATACATGAGAAGGATTTGTTTATACTCCCTTTTGGAGAACTATGCTATTATTTTTTTTCATATTTACATTTTACAATTCAATGAGTTTTTTTCCAGTTATAGTTGGCATACAATAACATATTAGTCTCAGTTGTACAGCCCAGTGATTAGAGATCACTCACAAAGTGATCACCCCACTAAATCTAGCACCCTTCTTCCCTTTACATATTTATTACAACATTGTTGACTATTTTCCTTATGCTACACTTTGTTTCTGCATGTTTAGTCATTATTTTTTGTTCTAACTTGTTTCCCATCTTACTTTAAAGCTAGAGGTAGTTTGTGGTTGCCACCTTGAATGAGAAATCACATAAAGTCAGAAATTCCCCAAGAAACAAAAGTTATTCAGAAAATAACTTCAGAATATTTACATAATGGTGATGTAGTTTTTTCTCATTTATCAAAAAAAAAAAATAAATAAATAAGACCTGCCAATATTTAAAAAGAAACATTAGGTATAGTGACAATATTTACAGTATAATCTATGTGTGTCTGGAAGACACACGCCAAAAATACTTGCAGTATTACCTCTGGTAGATTTTGGGTAAATTTATTTTATTATTCTTATGTATTTTCCACATTCTTACAAAGAGTGTACTTAATATTATTATAATCAAGAAAATAAGCATATGTAGTTATTATCTCTATGTAGTTATTATTAAAAGAATATTAGGTTTGCTAGTGAGTTTATTATTAAATAACCCAAAGCATCAAAGAAAGGAACCTTTTTAGAAATATAGTAAACTCACTTTAAACTCTTAAGATTAACATTTGTAGGCATGCTGGTTTCCTATAAAAGTAACTCTCTTTTTCAGGATTCAAAATCATGTAGACTAGAGCCTGATAAGTCCGAATTGGAAAACTCAGGATTTGATGGAATGAGTGAAGAAGAGCTTCTAGCAGCTGTTTTAGAGATAAGTAAGAGAGAAGCTTCACCGACTCTGAGTCATGAAGATGATGATAAACCAACCAGCAGCCCAGATACTGGATTTGCAGAGGATGATATTCAAGAAATGCCTGAAAATTCAGAGCCTGTGGAAACAGAGAAACCCAAAACAATCACAGAGCCAGGTAGGTTTAGTGAAGGTATCTGTTAAACAAGATACAACTGTGTTCCAGAGCCTTAAATAATGGGAGGTGAGATGGATCTGTATAATATATAACAACTAATAATATTTTCATGATATTTTTAACAGTTTAAAAAATGAGAAGTAAATAATGTAAGTAGTGCCCAGAGGCTAGTGCCATATCCCTTTAGGTGCACATCAAAAGGAAAGGTAGGTAGTATTAGTGCATTTAGTAAATGTTTGTGTCAGTTTTGGAACACTTGTCTCTTACCACTGCTTTCTCAGAAATATGTGCAATTCTTTCTTCATTTTTCGATATATGAATCTATACCAAGTTTTAGTGTACAGTCATCCCTCAGTATTCACGGGGATTGGTTTCAGGACCCCTACAGATACCAAAATTCGCAGATACGCCAATCCCTTATATAAAATGGCTTAGTATTTACATATAACATATGTACTTTTTCCCATATAGTTTAAATCATCTCTAGATTACTTATAATGCCTAAAGTAATGTAAATGCTATGGAAATAGTTGTTGGTACTGTATTGTTTAAAGAATAATGAGAAGTAAAAAAAGTCTGTACATGTTCAGTCCAGATGCAGTAATCCTAGGCCTAACTACTTGTACATACCAGCAACAAGGTAACAGGTTTTTTTTCAAGTATTTTCCATCAGTGGTTGAAGCTGTAGATACAGAACCCCCCAGATATGGAGAGCCAACTCTGTAAATACTTAAAGTTCTCCATTCTCCTTCAAGTTATCAATGAGAACAACAAACCTGAGCCTCTTTGCCTTGTACTATGGGTATTTTAAGATTTTTAGGCAGAAAATTTTTACTACCTCTTCCTATGGCCAACTCTAATTTTTTTCTCCTGATAGCCTTAATATCTATATATATTTAGTTGCTAATGTGTTTCAGTACATCAAACCTAGGATTTTGGAGATGAAGAGAATAGTGGCATATCACAGAATTATCTTTTGTATCCTTGGGGTCAGGGCATCATCACTTTTGAATTATTTTATGTGCAAGCTAAATAAAGATTAGTATATCCTCACTTTATCTGGAAACAAAAAGCCGATGATTTTTGTTTATAGGCGGTCCTTCTTTTTTTCCCTCTTGATGCAAGTATTGTTATGAAATCCCCTTCTCTTTTTAAAATTATAGTCACTCCCCTTAGATATCATTGGTTAATATTAGTGCTTTTGTCCCTTGCCGATTTATTTCCTGCTTTCAGTTCTTTATTTTAATTTTTTGTTCAGTTCTACATCTTCTTAAAATTAAGAAAGGAAGTTATGTACAATTAGTTTTAGATTATCTATGCCAGTGGAAAACACTGAGATTATCAAAATCATTAATCACAGGTGGATTGAAGGGTCCACTGGGATGGCTAGATACCCTCTCCATTCCTCTCTTCAATACTCTGTACCTCCCTCTGTTCCTCCCATCTCCTCCCTCTGCCTATCTCCTTCCCTATCTTCCCTTCATCTTTTCATGTAATCTCAGAGCCTCTCCCTCTTCATGTGATCTCTCCAGCAGGGTAGCCAAGCTTCTTACATGACAGCTCAGGACTCCCGAAAGCACAAAAGGGGAAACTGCCAGGCCTTCATAATGTTTAGGCTCAGAATTAGCATAGAATCAATTTCAACACATTTTATTGGTTAAAGCCCTCACAGGGTCTGCCCAGTTCATTGTGAGGAGGGCTACACGAGAGGGAATACCCGTATGCCTGGTTCATTGGAGGCCATCCTTGGAGACTGTACACACACACACACACACCACTTTTTTATTGGAATCATTTGAAATTAAGGGTATCATGACACTTTATCCTAAAACACTTAAGCCTGAATCTCATAACTATATAGAAATTTTCCTATGTAATAATTATCACACCTAAGAATATTAATTTAATAGTAATTCTGTGTATAATTCCAAATACAGCCCACAATTCCAAAATATTTTTTATACTTTTCTTTAAATCTAGAGCCCAAAGTTTACCTACAATGTTTGGTTGTTAGGTTCCTTTAGTCTCTAGTTGAGGCGAATTTTTCTTTGAAAGGCTTCTATTATTGGTTGTCCTATAGTTCTTTAAGTATAAGCTGGGTTTTTTTCCCCCATACCCTAAGACCTCAGAGGCTGTAGATGGGATAGGTTTCTCCTTGTTACCCATTGCCATTTCCAACTGCTTGTCACCTTTTATCCTACAAAAATTCTGGCTTTGTACGTGACATCAGACTTTGTCACCTATTTTCTCTTATGTAGCTATCTTTTACCTTCTAGTCACTCGCATCAACATTGTTAGGGCCTTCATCATCATAAGTGCTCATTCACCAACCTAGTTTCTCAATACTTGATCTTAATTTCGAAGAGTTTTTCTTCTACCCCATCTTGATTACTGACAACAGTCATAATCTAGACCAGTGGTTCTCAAAGTGTGTCCCCAGATCATCAGCATCATGTGGGAACGTGCTGGAAATGCCCTTCTTGCCCTCCCCCCCCGCCAAAAAAACCCCACACACCCTCCTGAATTTAGAATCCTAGATATGGGTCTCAACATTCCGTGATTTTAGTCCAGGCGATTCTGATGCATGCTGAAGTTCGAGAACCACTTCCCTAGACTTAGTTAATCTTTAGTAACTGTACCACCTTAGAAATCTTCATTTCAAATATCCTTTAACCCTTCTCTCCTCCCAGCTCACCAAGCATCATATTCTTATTTCAACAATTATTTGATCTTATTAAAGACTTCTATTCCTTCGACTTTCACTCTATTGCTGTTCATTACCCCACTCTTGCCATCACTTCCTTGCCCGGTCTGTATGCCATACTGTAGTCCTCCTTTATCTCCTTTCTCTTTTCCGTCGTAGTCACCTGACAAAACCCAGTCTTCCAACTCAGCTAGCTTCTTATTCTGTGCCTACACCCAAGCAGCGGAAGCTTGCGGGAGGAAAATCACCAAACTGCTGACCAGACTTTCCTCAGATTCATGACTAGACTCTTAAGTGAATACCAAATGCTACTCTTTTGATTTCACCTCTTTAGTAAATTTATTTTCTTAGTCTTTATGATATCTTCCTCAAATCTCCAGTTTTCCTTTCACACACACTCTATGTTCATAACTTAGTGATATACTTTTCAGAGAAAGTAGATTCAGTCAGATGAAAACTGCCTTTACTTTCATTATGGTGGAAATGTCCCTGTCCTTATCTAAGGCCAGTCCCTCCGTTCCTAGCCAGAATCTCATTCACTTTCACTTTTTAAATTATGTTCTTTCTCTTCTACAGCTTCTTCCCACTCTTCTAAATTATTCCTGTTGCGTTTCAGTATCACCCATCTTTAAAAAACCCTCTTAGGACTTTATGTTCCCCTTCAGCTACCCGCCCCCTTTCTGTGTTCTCCTCACAGCAAAATTCTTTGGGAGTTGTTTAATTCATTCTCTCTGCTTTCTTACCACCTCCCATTCTCTCCTCAGCCCTCTCCAAGTGGGCTTTCATCCCCAGCACTCCACCAAAATGGTGTTTATCAGGTTTACATTAGTGGTGTTTCAGTCTACCACTCCTTCCGTAACATTTAAAACTTTATAAACTTTTTTCTGAGCTTCCATCACACCACACTCATGGGGTTCTTTCTTCCTACTAAACCAACTACTCATTTCAGGTTTTTTTGGTTTGTTTGGCTCATCAGAACTCTAATTGTTGGAGTATTCCCAGGACACTGTCCTTAGCCGTGTCTTTTTTACTTAAGCTCTCTCCCTAAGTGATCTCATATAGTGCTACTGCCTCACATACTGATGAAAAATCAAATCAATATTTCTAGCCTAGATTTCTCCCCTGAACTTTAAACTTGTATATTGAAATGCCTACCTGAAATGTCTATTTAGCTGTTTACTTTTTATTCCTCCCATCCCCACAAATATGCCTTTCCCATATCCGCAAATGGTACCATTATAAATCTATTTGCTCAGGCCAAAAAATATGTCTCCCTAGATATTTTTGTTTTACTTCACACCTTGCATTCAGTCCATCAGTAAGCCCAATCAACTGTGCCTTGTCTTCCATGTCTCACCTGGGCCACTGCAACTGATTCCAATGCCCCTTCTTCCACTCTTGCCTCCTACAGACCTTGTTTCATGAACAAAGCAGCCAGAGTAATCTTTCTGAAGCATAAATCACACGGTTTCACTGTCTCCAGACAGTAACTAGACGGAAGAGTGTGGCAAAGGCCCAGACATGAGAAAAGCCATGACAAGCTAGTGGACCTAAAAAAAAGTTCAGAATGATCTGCATGAAGTGGTTTAACCACTCAAATGCTTCTCCCTTACCACCTATAAAACAGAATGGTCTGCATGACTGGAGCATAGTGTTGAGTGGGAAAAGGAAGAGACGAGACTAGAGAGGTATGCAGTCTCCAGTTTTTACATGGCATAAGTTCATATTTAGTACTTCGGACTTTCATTTCAAAAGCATTAGGAAGTTCTTGGATAATTTTAAACAAACAAGTGTTTGATAAAAATTTATATTTGGAAAAGGTCATTCTGGCTGCAGTGCAGCTTATAAATTAGAGAAGAACCAAAGTAATCCTGTGAGACCTATTAGGAAGTTGTCGTAGTGGTCCAGCCCAAAAGTTAATGGTGCCCTAAGGTGAAGTTTTGGCACTGAAAAGAAAAAAAGTTGATAGATTCAAGGGGTACTTATGAAATAATGAGTTACTTGATAAGAGGAATAAATGAGAAGTCAGAATGAGCCCCAGGTTTCTCTTTTCAAAAACACACAACTGTATGTGGACAGTGATCCTATTCACTGAAATATAGAATGTAGGAAAGGAGCAGGTTTCAGCTGGGGGTGGGGGTAGAGGCAGATGATAGATTCAGTATAAGAATATTGCATTTTAACGTATGGTTCCCCTTTGCCCCATTGTTCAAGTTCCTTAAAAGTATACCATTATTTTGTGGTCATATTTGTTGCAGATCTTAAGTAATTTTTGTATCCAATCTTGTCCATCTGACAGTCTTGTCTTAAAGACAAATTATATTAATTTTAGCATCTCAAAATGAACTTTATGTGTTCTCTATCACACAGATTAATTGCTAGTGTAATTCCAGCACTGTGTGAGGTACATTGGTACATTGAGTGGTAAAAATTATTGGTTAAGGAAAATTGTGCCTCTCTCACTTTTTTTTTTTTTTTTTTTAGCATCTTTTGATACTAAACGTAATAATACTCATGTTATGCCCTAAGATAGTACTCTTAGCTCCCAGGTCTTTCTTCCACTTGAAATGCTCAACATCACCTTACTTTGAATGTCTTCGTTCCACATTTCCAGAACTAATCCAATCGATTGACTCCAATATTTATTCCTGGTTCTATAAACTAAGGCCAAAGGGACAGGTTGGGTTATATAGGCTTCAGAGCTATGGAAATTATTGTTCTTCCAAGAATGGAGGAAAAGAATAAATCATTGACAATTCTAGTATAATTTTTTAAATTGGGATCATACTGCTTTTTGTACTTAATATATCCTTAGTTTCTTTTTCTCTTTTAATGAATAGTGAGTTTTAATAGTAAATATTCAGTTAGTAATTCAATACAGTCAAAAAATGATAAATAGTTGCTGATTTAGTTTCTAAAACCAAGATTCTGTAAGCTTCAGAGTTGTCTGTACCATAGAAAAGTATTATTTGAATGGTTAAAATGCAGTTTGGGGGCAGATAAACAGCATATAGTAATTTTAAAATAGTTCATATAAGATGAATCTGTAAAGGTAATTCTTGTGGATCAAATTATTTATGAGACTTTCCTTAACTTGTTAAGATGAGAATTTTTGCTTTGGGAAGGTGTGGGAAGAGAGAGGGGGAGGGGGGGCGTGGTGAGAGAGAGAGAGAGAAAGAATTATAATGAAATGTTGTTGCTAACACAATTCAAATAACGAGAACAAAATCATGACCATACTGTTTATTCCAAATAGTCAGTCTAGAAACTATGTTTGAGGTTAACGGGTGAAATACTCTCTGAACGGTAGGTGTCACTCTAGTCCGGAGAATTCAGTTTATTAGGAGTTTCCCAGTTATGTTATGTTCTCCTTCCTCAGATCCTGCCACTTTTACTGAGATAACTAAAGACTGTGATGAGAATAAGGAAAACAAAACCCCAGAAGGATCTCAAGGAGAGGTTGATTGGCTCCAGCAGTATGACATGGAGCGTGAAAGGGAAGAGCAAGAGCTTCAGCAAGCATTGGCTCAGAGCCTTCAGGAGCAAGTAAGAAATATATGTGTATATATATATTGCTACTTTCTCCATACCTAATAATAACAACCACAAAAATTAACATTTGTTAAGCACTTACTATGTATCAGGCATTGTTCCAGGTGATTTACTTACAATAAGTCATTGATCCACCAAAACAAACAAACAAACATTTCTTTGTGGCTTTGCATTGGATTCGAAACAAACATTGATAGATTTTGTTTTTGAGAATCCAAATGCAACAAAATATATTGTTGTTTACCTCCCATTACTGCAATTCATTGCATGCCAAAGCAAGATGGGTCGTTATAGATCATCACAGTCCAATGTTATTTTACAGGCTGTAGAAACAGACAATATACCACTGTGATTTTATCACTACTATTTTAAGGCAATGTCTTTGTTTTAGTCGTTTTTCTCACAATATGAGTCCTTTGCTATTATTTGAACATAAAATTCCTTAGGACTATTATCTGAATATTATCTGAAATTTAGATATTAGGTATAGGTTAACCTTTATCTGTTCTTTTCTTTATGTATTAATCTATTCTTCAGTGTTTAATTCTTTATGCTTATATTTGCCAAAGCTGGTTGATTTGCACGATTGCAGTCATCTGAGGTATCTGTTTAAAGGTGATATTTTCATGGTTCTTTCTTACGCAATCCAAATCGTGTTAGTAATAAAAATTTACCAAGATTTCTAGGACAAATAACCAGATTAAGAAATCTCATTTCTCTAGAACAGTGAGTCTCAAGCTTAACTGCACATTAATTCTATCTGGGGAGCTTTAGAAAATACTGATTTCTGGGTTGTTTGCCCTTAAGAAAATCTGATGTAAATTGATCTGGGGTGTGGTCTTGGCATCTAGACTTTTTAGTTGTTGGGGTTTTTTTGTTTTTTGTTTTTAATAAGGATTTTTTCAAAAACTTCATTCAGTGATTCTAATGTACAGGCTGGGCATCTATATTTTTTGGTGTGTTTTTTGTTTGTTTATTTGTTTATTGTTTGTTTTGTTTTGTAAGTATTTTTTTAAACTTCATCCAATGATTCTAATGTGCAGCCAAGGTTGAGAACTGCTTCTTTAAAACCTTTTCAGAGCAGGCTGCTCTATATCCTTTTATTTATAAGAAGTAACTTTCTAGCTGACTTGTTATCGAGATGTATACATGTTCAAACTGTTTTACAAATAATAGTAATCATTTGTTTTAGAAAACATAATGTGAAAGATCAAGATCTGACTTCTTACCAGTAGTACCATATAGTGCAGAAAAAGAAAAAATTCAGCACCCCTCTTTTCCATAAATGAAAGATATATATGTTATTTCTTGTCAGCTGACCCAGTTAAAACAATCTTTTCTCAGATGTGAGGATAGGATTATAAGATGGAGTTTATTTAGTTTGGTATACCTGCATCATTCTATAAATAACTAAAAAAGAGTCTCTTTCTGGTTTCAGCATAGGCTTTATTTATATACTTGGATAAGTCTAAGTAATCTTATTTTCTGTTAGAGAATATCTCTGTTGCTTTCTTGAACACACTGTTATTGCTCCCAGTAGTATAATGCAGAATAGCTCATTCTAAGTTTCTTATATAATTTACTCTATTTGTCTAGAATTGAGGCAAATATAAAACAATTCTGCTTAAATTATCTTTTTTCATTCATGCATCATTTGTAACTTACCTTTTCTCTGAAGATGAGAGGGAAAAGTTTTTATAGTCAGCATTTCCCTATTCCATTTTCTAATTATCTAATTGAGACATGTTTAGAGGTACTAATTTTTCTAAGAAAATCTCAAATGTATTAGAAAAGTAACAGTCAACATCATTCATTTAGTATTTACCAAGCATCTATTATGTGTCTTGTTTCTTTAGCAAGAACAAAAATAAAAGTCTATGAAAAATATCTTGTGGAAACATTGTTTATCCTGCTGTCATAGACTTAGGGTCAGTGGTGTGCTAGAGCCAACTCACTGTCAGCTCAGCTGTATCCATCTCTCTCCAGCTGTGCATTCAGCATCATGTTGATTACTTAAAATTGGCCATACATAACCTCTTTCCAACCCTGCATTCAGTGTCACATTAGTAGCTTAAAATTGGTCAGGATGGGAGTACTTATATCATGGAAATTAGCAAATGCTATATAAATCAGGGGAGAGGAAAAAGAGCAATTTGCTAAGTATTTGCTATATGCCAGGTATTTCATACATGTAAGAAGAAAGGGGATTATGTCATAATGTAATATTGAATGGCTTTTGGTTGGCAAGCCAAATATCACTGACCAGAGGAGATAGCATTTAAGCCTTTTTAATTCCCAAGGTTGTATTTTAGGAGGACATTGTTGGAAAGGTAAAGAACTTCTCCACATCCTTCAAAAGGTCATATTCCAAACATCCATAAGATTTTGGAAAACATTAGCAAATACTTCCAGACCAACTGAATTTACCCTCATTAAATAAGTTTAATCAATACCTCTTTACCTTAGTTTTGTTCTTGTCCCTTTAGGAGGCTTGGGAACAGAAAGAAGATGATGACCTCAAAAGAGCTACAGAATTAAGTCTTCAAGGTGTGGAGATTATTTTAATTACATTTTTAAATGGTGAAATGTATCACAGAGAAGAGCATATGAAATGTGTTTGTTATTTTTAATAACAATAACAAATTTGATCACCTCCCAGGTAAAGAAAGAACTTTAGAAGTTACCTGGATACCCCTCCCTTCGCCCTCTCTCCCAGAGAAAACCACTATTCTAACATTTGTATTCATCAGTAGCTTGCTTTTTTTAAAAGTAATATTTATTATATCCATATTCCTAAACAATGTATTTTTTTAATTTTGAAAAATTAAGTAGCAAGGACTATCTATCTGTAATTCATCTGTATAAAAGAACAATACTGTCACTGTTAAAGACTCTTAGGAGAAGACGTGGTGCTTCAGTTTCCCCCTGAATTTACAAGAGCTCATTCTGGGGAAGTCATTGGGCAAAGTCAGAAGCATAGGGTTCACTATAGTCATGGCATGTGGCAGACCTAATAGATGAACCAGGTGCTGGAGGTCCACAGGGACATATAGTCATGGAAAGTGGGCTAACTCTGCATTTTCTGTTTCTAAGATCACTGTGGTCTTTCTCCAGCTCTCAGAAATTGATCAAAGCAGAACACTTCAGTGATACAAAATGAGTGTTCTAGGCATGGAGGAAAGAGCAAGAATTTCACTGGCACATGGTTGAGACAGTTACAGATAAGAATTCAAGCTAGCATTCTGTCCTCAGATTAAAAAGATGGTACTATGGCTGTGGCGATGACTGTCTCAAGTCATATTGCTCCAGTCTGGACTGGTTGCCCTCTACATCCATGCACAGCTATCCTGAAATCTCCCTTATCTTTCTCCTGGGAATTCCCTCCAATTCTCTCCTCTGAGACTCCCATTTCCTGTATCTCACTCCTCATTCTTGTCTGCTTGTGCTTTGATAGAGAGCATCCCAAGTAGTTTTCTTGGAAAAGAGGGGATGTGACTTAGAAGATTTTTTTGGAGACCTTGCAAGTTTCATTATACTCTAGTAATTGATTAATAGTTTGGCCAAATATAGAATTCTAGGTTTACAGTCATTGCGAAAGTATTGTTTCTCACCAACTTAATGCTGCTGGGTAATGGGGAAGTCTTGTTTGCAGGGTTGCCTTATGAAAAGTCTTAAGCTGTTTGTTCTTTATCTTGATGTGACCTCTTTTGTCTTTGAAAGTTTGTAGGATCTTCTCTATTACTGTTGTGATGAAGTTTCACAGCAGTGTGTTTGACGTGGGTTTCTTTTATCCATTTGGCTGGGTACTTGATGGATCATTTTAATCTAGAAACTTCTCTCCTTGAATTCTAAGAAATTTTCATTTCCTCCCTTCCACTTTCTCTTTTTTTCTCATTTTGAAACTCCTACTATGCAGACCTCCTAGTCTGGTCCTCTTAATTCCCTTCTCTTTAGTTTTTCATCTTTTTATCATTTTACTTTACTCTCTGGGAAGTTTCTCCAACTCCAAACCTTCTTATGAGTTTTTACTTCTGTCATATTTCTAATTTTTAAGAACTGATTTGTGAATGTTTCTTCTTTATGAGTTTTTTGTTTGTTTTTGATTTGGTTTGGTTCATGGAAACAATACTGTCTCAATTCTCTGAGAATGTTAAATAAAGTTCATTTGTTTGTTTATTTCACATTTACTGCCCCTGAATAGGTTGTTTCCTCCTGATTGCTCTTTCCCGTGTGTTTATTATAGTCTTTATATTTCTTATTGGAGGCTTTTCTCAGATATCTAATAATCCTTGACTGTCAAGGTCATGGTTAAGAATAGGAGACTAAAAAGATGATTGGACATTCAGAGCACATGAATAACTAGTCAACTTTTGAGTTTTACAGGATGACACTGTTTGGGGAATGATGTTAATATTTTATCCTTTCTCTTGGACTGGTCAGATTCCTAAAGAAGGGTTTTTTAACCTCTTACCTTTACCTAAAGGTAAAAGATACGGCTGCCAGAGTTCTGAGAGCCAAGTAAAGAATAGGGCTGGGGCAGAAAATGTGAGAGGTTATAGTCATCCGTCAATATGCAAACTGTTACCTACTCCCTCCCATTTTCAGTATAGTACTCATGGCCTCCCGTGTGCCTAGCATCCCCCAATCCTGAGACTTTTACCCTCTCCACAGAATAAAGCTCCAGACTTTTGTCATTGCCTAGCAGCATGAAGTGGGGGAATGTGGATCTAGGAGTCTGTTTCTCAAATAGCTTTCTCCTAATTCTTATTTTTATCCCCTCCTTAGCCTCCAGTTTCAGAGGTACCTGGTGCTTCCAAGTCGAATGTCTTTTGAAGATTCTGTAATGTGAATCGGATTGGTTCTCAATTTTTCCATTACTGGCTTAGGATTTGGTTTTGGGTTTCTTAGGTCTTCTAAGTCTGCCTGTCACCCATCTGCTTTTCAGCTTCTAGAATTTTGAGGACGTAGTCTTTTTTCCTCTTCTTCCCGTTCTTAGGCGTTCATGTCCTTTAAACAACTCTGTACTGTGATTTTAGTGGAATTAATTATATTTAAAAGCAAAGAGCCATTTGTGTACAAATGCTCCTGGGATTCTTTATTTAAAGCCATTAGTAAAGAGAGATTCTTCCAGTGGAAGTACATTTTTAAAGAGAAAAAATAGATCTTGGATTTGTTTGTTTGTTTAGTATATTTTAGATGAAATTTAAGAGTTAAAAGTTGAATTTCTTTTATTTTTGTTGAATTGCAAAAAATGATTTACTATTAAAAAGAATGAAAGAATGTTGACCTTTATGGTCTCTTTTCTGTGAGATAATTTATATTTGCTGGTGTTCCCTACAGTATGCACAGTGTACTTCAAACCTGACATGTGGTTTATATAGTATGGAATTTAATAAAATTGGATTATCTTTAATATTCTCTTCACTTTTATTTCTTATATCCTCTTTCATATAAATATATTTAAAAGAAAAAGGAGCATTTCTTTTACAGATGAGTGGTGCCTGCATTGTTATTCCCAAGTGTGCTGGGTGAATTGGAACCCTAATAATATGTTTTATGTTTTCTTATATGATTGTGTACTCAAGCTGTTTTTTTTTATCTTCCTAATCATCTCTTTGTGTCTATTTCAAGAAATTTTACAAGACTCTGTCTTTGTGTTCTTCAGAGTTTAACAACTCTGTCTTGGATTCGTTGGGTTCTGATGAGGACTCTGGAAATGAGGATGTTTTAGATATGGAATATACAGAAGCTGAAGCTGAGGAACTGAAAAGAAATGCTGAGGTAGGTGGCATTTTATTCCCTGAGTAGAACCGGTCAGGTAGTATCACTCCTGCTCTTTATCTTAAAAGGCCCCACTGTCAGTTTCCATTACAGGTGCATTTCTGCCTCTTCGGCAGCCGTCAAATGGTCTTCCCTATCTCTTGTCCTTTGCTCCTCATTTCTTACAAGATTTAAAACAAAATGAAACAAAAACAGAAGTACATCCTGACCACTTTACTTGCATGTTAGGTAATAATAACTGAGTAACATCACTCTCAAAGTCATATGTATATTAATCACCTATAGTTACCAAAACTATAAAAATTGTTGAATTAATTATCATTAATTATCATTAACTGAAGCACATTGGAACCTTTCTTTATCCTTCTTTTTCCTTAAAGAATTGCTTAAGACTGTTTATAAACATTTTATTTTTAATGGCTGTACTATATTCCCTCAAATGAACATACTATTTATTTAATTTTTAACTATCATTGAGTATTTAAGTTGTTTCTGTTTTTTCACTGTAATAAATAATACATTGAGGAACTGTATAAGATTATATAATGTTTTGTATATTTAGGATTTTTTCTTCTCTTCAAGTAAATCTCTAGAAGTAAATTACTGCATCAAAGTTTATGAATATTTTAATGATTTTTGGTTTAGATATAGCTATATTCCTTCCCAAAATTATACCTAATAGTACTGCCTCAGTGCAGAAATATCTCTTTCCAGATGTTTTTTTTTTACTAGCAATATTTTAATAGCATTTTTAAAAATATTTAAAATGTAAATGTTCACCTTTAATCCCTACAGCAACACAGCAACTCCTCATTTTTTTCATTCCATTTTCCAGTACTTAACTGTTAATGTACCTGTTTTCATAGAGCTGGGTTGCTATATGCATTCATGTAGGTTTGAAAACAAGTTAGCATGTTGGTGACCCACATGATTTCTTAAAAATAACTGAATAATATAGTATTGAGTTGCTATACCACTAACTGTTTAACTGTTATTGCACCTATTGTTATTCCAACTTTTTGTTATTAAAGATAATGCTACAGTAAATAATTTTATACATATACTCTTTCCTTCTTTTGAATTATTTTCTCGGGATACATTCTTAAGGATTAGAATTCTTGGGTCAAAGGGTATGAATAATATCAACCACTGGATATTTTATCAAATCTGACTACATACATGCTGAAACTTAACCATGTCAGCTTTAATTATAAATTTAAATTTAGTGTTTTGCTTTGATTCAAATGAAGAGTTGAAAGTCATGACCACTTCTGTTTTCCAGACAGGAAATCTTCCTCATTCCTATCGGCTCATCAGTGTTGTCAGTCACATTGGTAGCACTTCTTCTTCAGGTAAATTGACATTATGATTTCAGCATTTTATAAATGAAGTAGCCAGCATTTACTCCTTATTAGGTTGCTTTGTGCCTCGCTTTGTGAGGTGTAAGTTGAATGCATCAAGAAAAACTTTGAACTCTTTTATCAGAAAAGTTGTTCTAGTGTGGTATATTATTCCCTTAAATTTTTGTACATGTTTTTAAAATGGTTTTTAGCAACATTTTGGGGTAGATGGGGTGGCTGTTTCCTTCTGAAACTTCCTGTACCTGAGCAAAATTCAGTAATGTTTTTTTAAAACCTCAATTTTAAGATTTTATTTATTTCAGGTCATTACATTAGTGATGTGTATGACATTAAGAAGCAGGCGTGGTTTACCTATAATGACCTAGAGGTATCTAAAATCCAAGAGGCTTCTGTGCAGAGTGATCGGGATCGGAGTGGTTACATCTTCTTTTATATGCACAAGTAAGAAACTGCCAAATCTGAAGCTATGGGCTAAAAATCATCTAATTCTTTCTTCTTCCTTTAGGGATAAAATGTTCCCATCACTTAATTGGTTGATAATTTGAGGGTTTTGTTATCTTTGCTTAGGGTTCATGTCTTGATTATTTCCTTATAAGTCCAGAATATTTTCATTCAGCATTAATTACTCGTCATGCAATAGCATCTAGGTATGGAACTTAAGACTGTTTTATAGTATAAGCTGCTTTATCATAAACCTTTTTGATCTTCCAGTTGATCAGCTAGAAGATCTGAGTTATATCAATGGGAACTACATAGCACTTTTCTGAAAGCTATTGCCAGCCTTCTTCTTCCTCAAGTGCTGATTTCTCAAAAATCAGCACTTGGGGTTAACATGATGATCAAATGAATGAACTGGTTATTTAATAAAATTTAGGCACCAAATGGGATTATGCAGGTTTCATCAGTATCTTTGGCTTTGCTCACTGGATGCTTATTTTTTGTTTGTTTTATTTTAAGAGAGATCTTTGATGAGCTGCTGGAAACAGAAAAGAACTCTCAGGCACTCAGCCTGGAAGTGGGGAAGACCACTCGTCAGGCCTCGTGAGGAACAGACTCCTGGGTTGGCAGTGTGCACTGCGTATTCTCTCTTACTGTCACCCTCCTCATCTTTCCTCTGCCTGAAGAGAATTTGAAATTCTACTTGATGCGGGAGCAACAAACAGCTCAGGGCCAAACCAAAAAACAAAAATTGCAATTATGCGGAATGCTCCATGCTAATTGTTTTATGGGAACTTTGGTCTCACATCTGTAGCTGATTACCTTCTTTTTCTCCTACAAGAGTAGCACTTCTTTTTGTCTTAGGAGTACATGTTGTAAATATATATATATATATGTGTACATACACACACATGTGGAATGAATGGAGCCTTAAAGAGTTAGAATGAGCTACCAGAGTATGCCTGCGCAAAATTAATAGCACAGCAGTTTGGAGAAGAGATGAAGTGTCAAAGAGTCCATTCAACTGAGAAATGTGTGGAGATATACATATCAGTTGGCAGTTAGCGTTTATGTTCCTCGAGTAGTTTCACTCAAGTCTGTAATCTTTCATGTGTGTTTCTTATTAGTAAAGTTCACTGGAAAATCAACTCTCCATGTTACACTAATGACAGTTTGCCCTCCTTGCAAAGGAAGGGCATTTCTGCCACCTGACTTGGGGGGCTTTTTTAAAAAGTTATTTTGTGGATTTGTAATGCTTTTGCTGTTTACATGCAGTCCCAAGAAATGGATTGTTGGTGCTCAGAGTGTGTTATAGTCCCACATTTGGTATTCATTGTACATTTTGTATTTTCTTTAAAGAGATTCCTCATGTAGTATATTCATTGTATATCATCTATATTATTTTGGTGGTGAAGATAGAATCTTTTTTCTTCTGTATCATTTTCCATGGAGCAAACATTACCCTAACAGATTGCAACCAAAACTTTAAGAGATAGGAAACTAATATTGTCCCAATTGGGACTCCCCAGCAAGAGTACTTAGGGATGATGAAGAATGCTAGCATCTCTGTCTCTCAGACAGAGAGAAGTCAAGAGGAGTATTCTTGTGTTAGAAGTACACTTGGCTAAATCTTTGAACCACTAAAGCTAAAGCCCTACCGCAAGTGTGAAATAAGTACATGAGCTGTAGGATGAAGCTTGAACATTTAACCAATCGCTTTTGGGCTTTGCCCTTAAAACAGGGTGGGAATTAAAATGTGATCAGTTTAGGTAATCCCAAGAAGTAACACATAACAAAGGTGCATAATATATTTATCTTACTTTTTAGGTGCTTTGAGTTGAGACTAAATGGGAGTACAACATTAAGTGCTACATTAGTCATTCAGCTGACGCAACCAGCTTGTAAAACCATATAAAAAATGAGTTTGAGAGTAGAATTCTGTCCAAAAAATAATTTCGTGAGCCCAGGAATCATTAGGATCACACAGTTAAGTATAACAAAAGGAAACTTTCCACATTTTATTTTTTCTCTTTTATTATAAACAAGATTACTCTTTGGTTTTGAGGTAGGGACAAAACCATATCAGGTTTTCAAGGGGAGAAAACATTTTAAAGTTCATCACAGAAGATGCAACATCTTTTCTGGAAGATTGCTTTAGAGAGCTCCAGCCCCACTCTCGAAACTTAGATGTGTTCTGACATAGTAACCTCTTCTAACATTTTGAATCTTTGAATCATAAACAGCCCCAGCACTTTTGCTTAACTACTGATAGAAGCTTTGCCTCCTACCATTTATTTACATATTACTCTAGTGAGCGTTCCAAAATGATATGGTGGCAGGATATGCAGGAGTAGTATAGAGCAGAAGAAAATTTTTATGTTTTATTTCCAGTGGGGAGCCTTTTTTTTTCCTTGAAAATAACTTTTTTTCAAATGAGTGAAGTGGTGATCAAATTCTTTAGCTATTTATTCTCTTCCCTGTGTCTGTATTTGAGAGCTTCGAGAGGTACTGTTAAAAATGGGAATGATTTGAAACAAGGGGTACATTGGGGCATAAAAAAAAATAGAAATAACGCTATGAGCCTAGATTGCCCACAAAGTACTCTCATTTGACTTGCTTTTCATAGCTTGCGTGTGTGTGTGGTTTAGAAGTACACTTGGCTCGGAAACCCAATGTGATGTGATCGTCATGTCTTGGGCAGGACTTATTAGTCGAATATAGGTTACTGGAATAGATGAGTTATCTCACTGCTCATATCCTTGCAGGTTTGGGACTTGTATTTTTCTTGATATCTGTTCATTGTTGTGGCCTGGTCAGCCTTCCTCTCTCCTTTCCCTCTTTTAACTATTTCGCCTTTTACAAAGTTACTTTTCTCATTTTGGTTCAGTGAAGGGTTAATAACTACAGATGGAGATTTCAGCTGGACCATGTTGATGGGGTTTGTTGGAGTTTGTTTTTTTGGTTTTTTTTTTTTTTTTTTTTTGAGCTGACTATATATATTTTAAAATTATAAGTAGATAATATTTTTTGTGCAGTATAGTCATTTCGCTCAGAATCAGGGGGTGGAGCATTTGGCATGTTAGGGCCAGGAAGGGACAACTTAAACAGGGACGAAGTGCTTCAGTCCCAAGCAGCCTGCACAATAACTGACTTCCTGTTGAAAAATATCACATGCAGTTACATTACTTTAAATGACATTGAATTGGAACTTGACAGCGCTTAGTTCTGCATGCAGCTGATCTTAATTAGAATTTTTTAGAAGGGAAAACTAAATTAAAATTAAAACTTGTTTATTCTTATCAGCTAATATTTTTATGTAGGATTGGAAAGTTTCATGAGCCAGATGCTATCTATTATCACTTCAGCAGCCATGACTATAATTTGGGCCTGTGAGAAGATAGACTGTTTTGTGGAGAATATATTTGTGTATGTGTGCACACGTAAGTTTTATTTCAGCAAGATAGAAAAGAAGCAAATCTATGACTTGTTCTTCTATTTATAGTTTGATTCCAAAAGCCATTTGTTTACTTGCCATGGTCTGTTAATTTCAGGCCTAACTTAATGGCTCAATAGCAGACGTAACAAATGTAAATATAGTTTACATTTTAAGAAGTATGCCATGATACTTAAAGATCAGTTAATTAACTCTGGGAGGCAAACATTAGATTACACATTTATTTCTCTCTTTGATCAAATGTAAAATTCTTCTAAAAGAGAAGCTTTAAGACTTAAAACTTCAGCAAGCAAATTCATGACTTACTTTTCCATACTCCAGTTACCATTATGTAACTATATAAATATAGCTATAGCTACAGATATAGTTGTGTAATGAAAGTTATTCGGACACACCTAAATTAAAGATTCTTGGCAGTGTCTCATATATAGTTGATCTTTGTGAGTGTAGAGAGTGGGGATGCAGGGTGGAAACAGAGAGAAAAGACGGTAGTTTGGAAACTCATTTGTGATCTACTGAAAAGACATTATATTAAAACAAAAACATTACCCTCCTCACTCATCTCTTTCCTCTGAAATGACTGTAGTGGATACTCTTAGCCAACTTTTTTTTTTTTTTTTTTGCCCTGTTTGATTTAATTGACCCTCTTAGGTAATGTTTTGTTTTAAATCAGGGAAACAGGTAGATCTCCAAGTACATGTGGATATTATATATGTGGAGCTTTTTAAAAATAATCACCAACAACCCCAACCCGGTACCAGATGCAAGAAGGGAAAAAGTGTCCCCAAAAAAACAGATATGTCCTTTTCCTTCTCATCTTGCTTTACACTGATGCTCTCTTTAGATGTATAAAAACTTAAGATTTCTGCCCTCTAACATCTTATCTTATTTTGTCTCTTATTTTGTCTCTATTAATATGTCTTATTAACATCTGAAAAAAATTCATATATATATTTTTATTGGGAGACTGTAGTTTGGCCTTGAGAGTTTTGTGACAGAATTCTTTTGCTGTGTCTCACCACAATCATTGACTCCTTATGGCATGCTTTGATTACTAGACTTCAGGCGGTCTCTTCCGTTGTATCATATTTATAAACAATGAGTAAATTTTCCTTTCCATGTATGCTATGTGTCTGAGGTTTTGAAGTTTTAATTAAAAGTGTGCCAGTATGAATATAAGCAATTGATTTTGAAAAGGTTGGACTTTTCTTAACAGAGGTTCAAAGTATAGGCGTGTACACTGGTATAAGAATAGAGTGTATAGCGGGTCTGGATCAGGACCCAGGTTTGTTAGGTTGAATGCCAAAACAAAGAAGAGCAATTGACCGAACTGGTCTATTTCAAGAACAGTGAGGGTGCAAAGAATGAGACTGCATGTGGTTGTACACACCTCATCCCCAGGTTTCCCTCCGACTTCTCTGGCCTGTTAGTGTTGTTAATTTATGCTACGGAGAGGAAAACAGAAGTAAGCTTCCTACACGTTGTGTAATTGAGCCACTACCAGGTTTGCTGGCAGCTTTGGCCGCATTATCTGTGAGGTGATTTTCTTTGTGTTCAGTGACTTCTGATTCTGATTCTTTATGTTGTTTTGTATGGAGCGGCACTTTATCTGTGTTTTAGCAGAACTGTTCCTCTGTATCCTTCATGATTTTTCCTTGGTTTGGTTTCCTTTTTAAATTATGCATAGAGTTTTTTGTGTGTGTGTGAAATTAAAGCCTTTATTAACCTTGTGTTGGTTTGACTCTTATTTCTGAAAAGACATATTCTTGCAGACACCTAACAACCAGTTGTTGAGGTTGGAAATCACCTTCACTGGCTTGACCTGGACTTCATGCAGCACTATTAAACCTTAAAGGAAATGGAATGGCAAAGCAACATAGGCCCACGGTCAGCACCAAGTTCCCATTTTCATCTGAGGAACCCATAAAGCTTTGCAGAGGTTGCGGATACCAGTCTGTAAACCCAGCCTTGGCCTTAGCTGTCCGTGCTCTTCCTTTGCCTTATTAAAAGTACCAAAAGGGTGAAATAGCATTTGCATTAAATACTTGCCTTTAGGCCTCAAGCCTAGACCCAGTGTATCCCCTCTCACTGGAGACTGGCAAGTAAGGATTGTGAAACCTAATAGACCCATCTCCTAGGCCATTTGACTCTTTCAAAGAAGGGATCTCCTTTAACTTATCGCCTGAGGGAGGCAGTGAGGAAAGTGTATGTGAAAGGGAAAGCCATTGCTCTGGGAAAAGTGTAAAACCAAAACGCTTCAAGTCCACCTGCCTTTGATAAAAGCCCAGGGAAGGCTCCTCAGAACTAATGTTCCGTGGAGTGTGAGGCTGCCCTTCTCAGAAGGGAAAGCTCTAAAACAGAATGGTTTAAAATGATGTCACATTCCAGGATAGAAAAAACGCAACCACCTTGAGAGCTGACATTGGGACTACAGGCTCCTGATGGAGGCATCATCTTTCTGGAGGAATAGGTAAGTTACTAAACACAAATACCCTTGCCATTGACTGCTGCTCACAGGTACAAGTGTAAACCTTTAATTCATATAGGATTAATACCAGCAATAAAAACAAAACTGTGAGCAGGGTAGCGACTGCTTCACAACCACAGCCACTCTTGCTTCTCAAAATAGTCCTTTTGCTTTCTTGAGGCTTTGTTGCTTCCATCGAGGCAAGGTGGAGAAGGCAGCTGGCGTCATCCCCAAGACCTTGGTGAAATCCTCAACTGACAGGTGCTCCTAGAGGAGGAGAGAGACCAGAAGGCAAAGATCACATTCTTTCCCAGAGGTTACTCTGATGAGTCATGTAGGAGTGGCATAAAAATCAGATGAAGGGCAAAAACAGGCAATGTCAAGGAGAGCTGGGAAAGTGATGGGGAGGAGGTGGGTGGCATTGAGTCCAAGAGATAAGATCCCTGAATTGGGAACATAATAAAAAGGACGGTGACAACATGAGGTAGACTGAACATCTTTTCTTTTTGACCAGGGTCAAATTCACACTAGCCTTGAAATAAGAATTAGAACATTTACTTAGCTTGATTAAGAAGTTGCTTCTCTTTCCAGATTTTAGTTTTCCTCTCAATAAAATAGAAATTTCTTAAAGCTCAATTTTTGCTGCTTTGTAATGCTTTTATGGGGACAAAAATACTATTACATATGAAAAAGACATTGGAAAACAATGTATCAAACAGTGTACCTACAGCTAGGAGTCACCTTTCTAAGCCTTGGGTATCTTAAGCCGTAAGTTGAGGGGATTGCCTGAAATGTCTTTTGCTCCCAGCTAACATGACGTAGTGATACTGATAAAAGCAAGCTAAATGCACTGAAGGCACACTCAACCCAAATTAAAGCTGCTAAAAGCAGCATCCCTCAGTCTTCATCTCTGCTCCCCAGGCACCAGGAGAGGATGGGGTAGGGTGAAAACTGTGGGTTTCTTTTCAATCATAGATTGCTCTGCTACAGGGAGTTACTCTGGAGAACACTTTACTGACTCTTGCAGAGACCCCTGAACTGAACAGCAACTTCGTAAACACCTGCAGATGAATTTCAAGCTCAGGTGGGTCTGCTGCCCCAGTTCTCTGACCTGTCATTAGCTTTGCCTCCAACCCCTGGGCATTCCCTCAAGGCTCTTGGGAGCCCTTCCTACTCCCCCAGGCAGGGCAGTGGAATGCCTTGTTTTGGAAGAAGAGATTAAACACGAGTGGTTTAGGCATCCGTGGATAGGGACGAGCTGCCTACCCCAAGTCTGTAGCATTCCCCTTTGCTGCCAAGTCCCTCACAACTGTGGCTGCAGTGTCCTCAGTCTGCAATTGGGTGGTTTCAGGTTCCCTCTCTGGCTCAACCAGGCTGGCTCCACAGCTTGGTCAAGATGTCTGGACTTTGACCTTGGGGCTAGATAGCAGGGACTGCCCATCCCAGTGGACTTGTATCTTTCCGCTGGTCCTGTTCTTAAACCCTGCAGTCCTGCCAGCTGATTATAAGCCTCACCCTTGCCCACATCCGTCTCTGTGGCTTACTCATTGATGCTCAAACATTTCAATTACCCTCTTGCTACTGCCTGCAGCCAGACCCACCACCCTACTGTTCATGTCACTGGCTCCCCATTTGAGTCTGGAGCAGCCAGAGAGGTCTGAAGACCTCTCCTACCCTCCCTATTTGGCATCGAACCCGCAGCTCTCCCACAAGAATGTATGCTATTCCCACAATAAAAAATCAGCAACAGACAACTGAGTTTTAAGAAAGGATCTAAGACTTCTTCAACTGCTTCTGCCATGATGGGGTTGTGCTGGTTCTGTTTGTTCCATTCAAAATGAGCAGTCCTTTTAGCCTCCTGTCAATCACCTGGTTCAGTAACACTGGCTGCCCTTCCCTTTAGAAATACTTTATGCCACATGATACAATGGTAACAGTGGGACTCAGAAGACCTGGTTCTTGCTCTGTCTTTGCTACTAACTAGTTATATCACATTAGGCAAGTCACTTTCCCTCTCTGGACCTGAGTTTTCTCAGGAGTAGAGCAGGTAGTGATGATAACAGCTTATATTCATAGATTACTTTCTATGTACCAAGGGCTGGGCCAATATTTGTAATGTTATTATGACTAATATACTGGGATCATCCTAATATTACAATGAAAACAGATGGGCGGATCTGGGGTAGAATGCATGAAAGTTGTCTCCAAGGCAAAGGGCAAAATGCAAATGCTCTGGGAGTAATATACTTACACATATATCGGGCCTGAACCCCTAAAAGACTTAGATGTTCTTGGAGAAATCAGGTATCTCCTGTAGATTCTTTAATTCTTTTGTAAGACTTACTTCTTTATGGTTTATTATACACAGAGTAAATTTTCTCTCCTCTCTGTACCCCATCAAGCTAGATTTGCAGTCTATTTTGAATCTTCATGAAGTGGGAATGAATATTAGAAATGTGTTTTTAACAAGCTGCTCTTGCCAAAATCTCCCCACACAGGGAGATCCACAAAGGCTGAAGCTGCAGCTACCTGATGGGTCTGCCCTGGTGCTGCTCTGAATGGTGTGCCCACCGAGCATGTGTTTCAACCTGGACGTCTCTCAGATGCATCAAACCACATGACTTCCTGTAAACTCATGATCACCCTCTCTAAGCTCAGTCTGACCTTGTGTTTTTTATCTCAGAGAACACAACTTTCCCCTCTCTCCCATACCCTTTATCAGGTACTCACCAAGTGCCACTGATTTTACCTTATAATTCTATAAGTCATCCCCCTCCCTTCCACCTCCCCTCCACCACCTATGCTAAGTTCCCATCTACCTGTCAGCCTGACTTACAGCGGCTGCTTTTGCCACTGTTCACTTGATTCTTCACTGAGCAGCTATAGTGATCTTTTAATAGTGTAAACCTGACTGCTACCCTCCTATTTCGACCATGATGGGTCCCTTCCGCTTTGAGGATAGACACCACCATCCCTAACGTGGCACAGAAGGGCACTGATCAGTTCGGCCCCCTTTCCCCTGGCCAGCCGCCCCTACCCAGCTTGCACATGTTGGTGCCACTCACATTTTGCCCCACCCAGTCCTTATTCCCTGCCTCTGGGCTACATGTATGCTGCTCCCTTCTCTAGGAAGAACCCACTCTGCCTGAATAATTCCTGTTCACCTTTCAGAAGGAAATTTCTGACTAAACCAGGTTCTTTTTTGTAATATTCTTCATGGCATCTATACTTCACCTTTGTGACACCTACTTATCTTCACTAAAATTAAAGCATAGTGTAAAAAAATCGGTCTCCTTTGATCTCTCTCCACACTGAGATGTAACTTCACACAAAGGCAGAGACCAGGCCTGTTTTGTGCACCAGGTCATCCCCAGCACCTAGCCATCTGCAGGACACAATCTGGGGGTCAAGCCGTAGCTCTTCCTCCTGCTCCTTGAGTCCGACCTACCTCCTTCCTGCTGGGGTCCACGCCCTGAGGGAGCTCCTCCACTGGCATGTTCACCAGCTGCTCCAGGGGGAAGACGGGCAGAGGCCCAGAATTGAGGTTGGTGTTAGTGTTAAACACATCCTGTTTAGGGCTTGTGATCTCCTAGGGAAGAAAAGGAAAGCACTGTTACTTCAGCTGGTTGGCGGCCACCTCCCAGGCTGCCTTGCCCTCTGAAGCAAATGAACATTGATCCTAGGGCGCCTCCGTCAAGAAGCCTTCCATGGCCCCCACCGGCCCACGTACACGTACACGCACTCGTAAGAACACGACACATTGGATTGGACCCACGAGCTAAAGCTTAGTGGTCTGTGTGAACACCAAAGCCAGTTGGTGCAAGATGACTATTTTGTTCTATGACTATTTTGTTATATGACTTATGAACTTTTTGATGGCTTCTCTCATATGTTCAAGGTCTCCCTTGGACAATTATGATCTTCTTTCTCTTATCTGTTGTGAAACTGTCATCTGTATAGACAATTAGCCTTGTCATATCTATACTTTCCTGCCTAAACCATCAGTCTGCCAAGAGTGGTTTATAAGTGCCTGTGGGTGGGGCCAGGGAGCCATATGTGTTATCTGACGATTACCCTGCTGTGCTTGAGAATTGTTCCCATGTTCTGGACACATTTCTGCTGAGTCTACTTGGCCTTGTTTTCTTTGCAAGCCTGTGAACCTCTTAGAAGAAAGGTTTTGCTTTCATATTTCCATATCCCAGGCCTACGGTCTACACACATTTCTGTAACTGCATCAAATTCCCTGGATGCTTTATGAAAAACATGCGTATTCCTGTGTCTCATCCCAATTCTATAAAGCAGAATCCTTGGGAGTGAGACCTTTGAATCTGCAGTTTAATAAGCTTCCCCCACCCCCAGATCCCCATAGCCCAGACTCTTGTGCATGATCAAATTGGGGGACCATTGCACTAGAGAATGGAGAGGGCAAAACAGCTAGAGTCATTGAAGTAAAACAAGAACTTGCATGAGAAGAGGGAGGAAATGGTGGCAAGGAAAGCACAGGACACTGGCATCTTCTCTGGAGCTTTCTCAGTTCCGACAGGTCCGATCATGGTCAGGGAGCCACCACAGGGCCCAGCCACCTGCCCCATACTCACAGCAGTGATCTGGCCCCAGTCCTGAGAATTTCCAAGCTCTGCCTTCAGGTCTTCGTAGGATTTAGCATTCTGCATATAAAGCAAGTAATAAATTAGACCTGGTTCTCAGCATGGAAGACAAAAAAAAATGTTTCCTTTAAGAGTTGAAAGAAGGCTGCCCAGGACCTGGGGGTGAGAAGTGGAAGAGGGAGCTAGGCAAAAGGTGGAGGAAGGTCTCTGAAAAAAGAGATGGGTTGGTGAGGATGAGCACTGAAGGGGCTGACAGTCAGAAGAGGCCAGGACAGGCAGTTATCTGGCCCGGGTGAGAGGTGGAAGAGGGAGCTAGGCAAAAGGTGGAGGAGGGTCTCTGATAAAAGAGATGGGATGAGCACTGAAGGGGCTGACAGGTCAGAAGAGGCCAGGACAGGCAGTTATCTGGCCCCACTCAGCCCAACATGGGGACAGAGAGGAGTATGATCTTTTCCTACCCTCAGAGGCCTGTGTAAGCAGCTGCTCACACACTTGAGAACCCTGACTACATTGTGTAGGTGCTGGGGGCACTCAGAAGGTCTTGGAGATCTGGGGGACTCCTCTCAGCCTGGAGGGAACCCTGCCGTGAGGAGTGAAGGGAGTAGAAGGGACCATGGCTCCATGAGGAGCCCCGTCTCCATATCCCCAGGGCCTGGCACCAAGCATGGCACATCATGAGCTTCAGTTATGCTGAGTGGATGGATGGATGGATGGATGGATGGATGGATGGATGGATGGATAAAGTGAGTTTGAGGGAGAAGCCAGCAGAGACTTGAGGTGAGGAAAGGCTGCCAGAGTTGTTGACTCGGGACACTGATGATACGAATTTAAGAAGTTCTGGCATCTGGATTTTGCATCTGGACCTTGAGGTTTGTTGAATCCATCTGCAAGATTAAACTCAGCCCATCAGCCACTGGATTTTTTAAAACATATTTGAGAAAATTAATCTAAGCTCTCTGTTTCCATGACCACATCTGTTGTGCCAATTTAGCACACCCAAAGCCGCCAGGCCAGCACTCATTCTAAGCTTAGCCTCCCTCCTTGCCTCCAGAAACCATCACTGGAGTTCTACCTTGAGGACCTGCTTTCTTCTTCTATCTGGGGTCAGTTTAAAGAAATCCTGTGGAAGTCTGATTCACTGTCTCTCAGGTGAGGACCACACGAGTAACTCATTTTGCTTAGAATTTAGTGCCAAGAAGACATCTGTCTGTCCTTTAGAACTGGCATGTCTCCTTTCATCCAGCATGAAGAGTCCATCAGCGCTGTCCTGTAGAAGTTTCTGTGATGATGGAAATGTCCTCTTTCTGTGGAGTCTAATATGGTAGCCACTAACCACATGTGACTACTGAGCACTTACTTAAATTGTGGCCAGTGAGAAATTGAACCTTTCTTTCGGTTTAATTTTAATTAATTTTAATTTAAGTAGTCAGTACAGCTCTTACCAATAATGCCCAACAACTTCCAGCTAAATCTAGTGCATGGGCAGGGTGTGTAATTAGCCTGAGTTTCATAGCCTTTCCTCCCTCTCTCTCACCAGGGGGCTTAATGGTCTTGGGGCAGCCTTACTTTTTATTCTAAGGCAGCTCTAACCCTTTCACAAATATATCACATGTTATCTACCACAAACAGAAAAGCCTGGGAGTCCACCCTGCCCTTGAGGTGTAACATCAAGAAGCCAGCCAGAGAAGGATACGCTGGGCTGTAAGGACCAGGGTGAGCTGGGGGCCACTCACACTCCACTTGAAGGGATCCCAGGCCAGGAACCAGCCCGTGAAGGTCGGGGGCTCATGTCCTTGCTTCACCACAATGATGGGAGTCTCGGGGTCCCGGCCGCTGGGATGGGTCTTGAGGTATTCCTGCACGGTGGTGGCTGCGGCTTTCTTCTCGTCTTCATTGGCATACTTCCCGATCCAGAAGAAGACCTGTGGAGAACCCAGAACTCGGTCAGTGCTCCCTGTCCTCCTGGACCATAAGGCTCAGCCTCAGTTCACCCAGGCTTAGATGTCTGACATTGGAGCCTGACCTTGGACAGGGGGCCCACCTGGCCTTGACTTTGCCTCTGGGAAATGAGGAGGTTGGACAGATGCTCTATACTTGGCTGCTCTGCAAATATGTGATTCTCAGCCTCTCCGGAGTCAAAGCCCCTTGAAAACACTGCCCTGCCACGTGAAATGAATCGAACTTTGGGAGAAGATCATCGCACACAGCAGTTCCTTCCTTCCTGCCTTCCTTCTTACACCATTCTTGTTCATAATACTGCTCCCGGGGAGAACAAATATGAGAGCCAAGAAAACGTCAAACCTTTCCTATCCCTAACGCCACCATTTCTTGACCAGGCCTCGGCCCTACCTGGTCCCAGACATCTAGCAGGAACACATCATCTTCTTCCAAGTCATCCTGATTGAAGTCAGTGATTTCTGTGGCCAGGAAGCGCCCAGTCTGGTTGGAACATTCAAAGAGCCGGGGGGCGATGGCCATGTTTTCCTCCTGCAGTCTGCAGGACGGACAGAAGATCGTGTCGGCAGGAGGAAGGTGTGGGGAGAGGAGAATCAAGGACACAGAACTCTGAGGGACCCCGACATGGAAAGCCCACCTCAAAGGCAAATGCTCTTTCTTCTGATCACACGAAAGCTCCCCCTTCCTCCCAAGAGTCCAAGAGTGTTCCCCGGGAGAAATTCCCACTGCTTCTCCAGTCGGGCATTCCAGTGGCTCTTCTCTAGTCCCTAGGCAGTTCTAACACCTGCCCTCTAAACCTCCCGCTGCTGCTGCTTTTGCTTTTGACCTGGGTGGAGGGGGCGGGGCATGGATCTTCTTGAGAAAAACCGTTTGAAAGAGGGTTTATGTCCAGGTCCTGTGTCATCAGCCTGAAGAGCCAGGGCTGGGTGGACTCTGACATCTTCTTCCCCAAAGGCAAACCTATAGTCCCGCCCCTCTCTTTGAGCTGCCTCCTATGGCCGTGAATTCCCCATCAGGCCCCGGGCAGACCGTGGTGAGCAGCGCAGACACAGCCCCTGTGCCCAGGAGGGCCTGGGGGCGTGGACTGCTCCTTACTCATCTTGTGGCCCCGGGGACCTGGCACACAGGGTCCTCAATCCATGCCTGTTTCAGGCTCTGAGCCATGAGCATGGAGGTTCTGGAAGGCTCTCCAGCCTCGGAAGGTGAGCTGGAGGCAGAGGGGCCCCGTAGTTACCTCCTGGTGCTGGCGTAGGGGGCCTTCCCACCCAGGGCTATCCAGAACTGGGCTGGCTCCTGCCCTTCCACTACCACTTGCTTCTCCGTCCGAGAGATTGTGTCAGCAACCATCTTGGCCATCTGCCGCTCGTCCCCGCTACAGCCCTGGGAAAAGGAAGGGAGTCTAATATGCGGCGGGGAGACCACCTCTAGTGCCATGCTGACCCCCACCCTTCCGCCACAGTCACGGGCCCAGAGGTCCTGGGTCTGAGAGAGCTTTCCTGGATCAGGACACTAGACACATGGCTGATGCAGTGACAGTCGTCCCATCCTCCCCTCTGTCCTTGACACTCCAAAGAACGGCAGAGGAGACAAGAGAGTCTGCACTCTCCTTACAAGGCAGGAGGACTACAAGAGGCTGAGGGTCTTCATTACAGAGATAGATGGGGAGGCAGTGACAGACAGGCACAAGGACAGTGAAAGAGAGCCTGAGATATAAAGACAGACCAACAGCGGGACAGACAGGAGAGGCCGGAGACAAACGGAATGAGGGAGACTGACTCAGACACAGAGGCGGAGAATCTGAGGATGGCCAGACCCAGAGTTGTGGAGGAGGGGATAGGGCCAGAGTTAGCTGGGGAACAAGGAAGCAGGGCCTGTTCAGCCAGAGGCTCCTGCCCTGTCCCCGATCTGCTCTGAGGCCAGGGGACCTGCACATACCTTCCCATACCACAGGTAGCAGCAGGACTGAGTCTTGAGGATGAAGACGTCATTGGAGTTGAGGGAGGTGGCCTGGGCTGGGACCTCGAAAGCCTTGGTGTTGTTGGCGCTGGTCCCCCGCACCTGGAACAGCTGTGTGGGGGGCACAGGCTCCATGTTGTTGGCCCGGGAGGTGCCTCCCTGCAGGGTGTGAGGAGAAAGCGGGAATAACTTAATGAAGATGAGGGGAGATTCGAGGGGCACTGACAACCAGAGAGAGAGGAAGAGGTTGGGGCAGGGTCAGCCTGCCCTTCCAGGTCTGCTGATACATCACCATCGGATGAATCTTTCCCAAACATTGCTTTGGTCAGGGCACTCCCCCGCTCAAAAACTTCAGTGGGTTCCCACTGCTTATAGATTAGAACCCAGCTCTGCAGGGGAGCCTTCGAAGGCCCCATGTGACACAGGTGCAAACTGCCTTTCCAGACTTATTCTGCTCTCTCCAATCCTTCCAGTTTACCTTGGCCGGGCTTCTTACTGTTCCCCATGGATCTCTTCCTCTGGGCCTTTGTCCTTGCTGTGTCCCCTGCATTGTATGCCTTCATAATACCTCTGCTGAGCTCTTCAACCAACCCCAATGTCAAGACCTTCTCCAAACCCCCTTTCCACCGTGAACACTATGCCCATTCCCAGGTTACTGTATTCACGCTCTCCTTTGAACTCAACTTATATTACTTGCATTTAACAACACGGTGCTTTGAGCTGTTAGTTCGTTGCTCTCCCAACAAGATGGTAAACAGTATTAGCATTGCATTCTTCTTTCCCCTTAGTGCTTTGCCAGAAGCTTTGTAGTTAGTAGGTGCTCAATAAACAGATTGTTGCTTAAATGAATTCAGGAGATGTCTACTTCATTATGTTGGAAGGCACCAATGCGGTTTGGACAAATCTCACCAAAATAACTTCCTTTTTCATGCAGAGGATCCGAAGAGTTGGGGAGTAAAGAAACATGCTAAGTGCTAATTACATGGACTTTTTAAAGTAGCGAATGCTTAGTTCTAGTATCAGTCCCACATAGGGGATGGAGTCTCAAACAGTCCTCTCTCACAGAGGACGGGCTTCACCCGCAGCCCCGCCCCCACCTGACCTCCCCTCTCTCACCTGCTGCATACCCACCCCACCTCGGTGGCGGGTACTGCCGGGCACCTCAGTCCAGCAGCCATACCTGGTAGACCACCATGCGTCCCTTGAAGATGGACATGAGGTGAGGTGGCTCCTTGCCCATCGGGACCCGGATCTGGACCGGTTCATTATTGTACTTCTGGTCCAAGATGACAGCTTGATAGGCTGAGGCTGTGATTTCATCCTGGCTGGCCTGGCTACCCTGGGGATGAGCAGGGGTAGGATGGAGTCAGCCCCCAATTCTGGCCTCGTCTCTGGCCTCAGTGATGACTCCATCCCCAATTCTGATCTGGCCCCAAACCCAACTGTCTTCCCCACCAAACCCCACCCCAGACACAGCCAAAACCCCACCTGAACTAGAATTCAGTTTGATCCTAGCCCCACACCAAATTCTTTCCCAGCCCCAGCCCAGCCCTGACCCACCTGCAACTCAACCTTGACCCCAACCTTGACTTCTCTCCTCCTTTCTTGGGGGAAATACCATAGCATCATTTATCCTCCACCCGAGCATCTTTCTGCTCTCTAACATCTGGACACAGGAACCCAGTCAGAGCCGATGAAGGGAAAGTACAGGAGGCCATGGAAATGGGAAAGGAGACTCAGAAAACCAAAGGGAAAAAGGTTGTGAATTCAGGTGCTCAGTGTCAGTGGGATTTCACAGCCAAAACAGTGCCCAGACGGAAGAGGAGTGAGCTCCCCGTCACCAGAGGTAGTCAACTCAAGGGGATTGGCCACTTGGCAAGGGTATAGTGGAGCAGAAGCTGAGCTGAATGTGCTCTGGACAGGGTGGGCGGGGCCTGACCTGCCAGATGTAGAGCAGGTAGTGCGGCTTCTCGCCAATGAGGTAGGTGTAGAGCAGCAGGTAGCAGTCACCCCCGTAGAAGTGGCCCAGCCACTTGGAAGCCACAGGCACCAGCTCTAAGTCCTCAATGCGCCACACCTGGGGCCAGTATCAGGCTAGTGTGAGGTCCAGGAAAACCTCCACCAACCCCTCCCATCCGTCCCAGGCTTCCCTTCCCTCACCATACCTGCACCTCCCCACTCCCATCATCGACCATCTTCTGCTGGGCAGCCACCTGAGGCTGGACATGCATGGATGTGGCATCAAACTTCACTTGCTCCACCTTGGCTGGAGTGAGGGGAAATCATGACACCAACGGTCACCAGCTGAGGTCCCCCCGGTCCTCACAAACAGCCCTGAATGGTAGCTATAATTCTTAGACTCATTTTACAGATATCAAAACTGAGGCCAGAGAGATTCAGTAGCTAACTCAAGGTCACACATGGCAGAGTTCTAATACAGAACCATATCTCCCTGCCCCTGAGACTCATGCTTCACCAGGGCCCCCAGGGAAGCCGGGAGAGAGGCAACTCTTGTATATTCCCCCAAGTTCCTGGCACTGAGATTGCCCTCAGCCAATATTATCTGGTAAGACTGAGCTGTTTGGTTTCCGGGGAGACCCAACCCCATTTCAAATGAAAGGCAGGTCATTCTTAGCTCCCATTTGTGACGACTCGAGTTTATCCATGTCCCCTCATGTCCTCACCCCACCTGGGGAGCAGGGGCCAAGGTTAAAGTGCTCGTGGAAGAGGCTGGGGAGGTTGAGTGCTCTCTTGGCCCCACTCCTGTCTCCCAGCCCACCCTGCTTCACCCGGCCCTCACCCACGGAGCCCACAGAGTAGGTTTTGCCCAGGCCTGAGGTCTGGTTGGGCACTGTCCACTTCTGAAAGAGCTGCTGGAAGACGACGGACTCAGATCCATCATTCTGCACCTCTATCTGTGTGCTCGCGGGGTACTGCTTGGCTTTGATAAAGTTCTGGAAAGAGAAGGGGATGGCTGGGGCCATGTCCCACCCTTAGCCTCCGCCCGCCAGAGCAAGCCAAAGCCTGGCTCTAACCCCAACCAGACCCAACCATAAGCCTATCCCTGGTCCCAAGCCAAAACCAGAACAAACTCCAGTCCCGAAGTTGACCCCCAAACCTAATCCTGCTCTTGCCCAAACCCCAAGGCCAAACCAGACCTTAAACTTGACACTGCCCCAAACCTACCTCTGACCCCCACCCCGAGGCCAAATCTGACTCCAAACTTGACCCCACCTCGATTCTAACCCATATCCTCAACTCCCATCTCCAACCTTGAACCCAGCCTCCAATCCAGTGCTGACCCCTAGCCAGTTAGGGTTATTGACTTCAGCCAAATAATGACCCCAAATTCTGACTTGGCCAGGCTCCATGCTCACCCCATCCGCTCTGTGAGAGAGCCGCCTCCATTTCTCCTTCTCTTCTTTGAACCTAGCTTGAGGTGGGAGTCCATATCCTGAGGAGGCCCCCCCAGGTGTCTGGTGGTTGGCTCTCTGGCATGCAGAGAACCCCCAAGATGGCTACCGAACCGACTTTGAGACCCCCCCCAGCTGGGTCGAGTCCAGAGCCTTCCCTGGCCTCTGCACCCCTGTCCGAGCCTGCTTCCCTTGCCCTGCTGGAGTCAGCTTCTCTCCCCTCTCCTCACAGCCCTCCTCCTCCCCCGACCCCCATGCCCACCTGTGCGTGGCTCATGGCTCCCTTCCTCTCCTGGGCACTGGCATTCTTGCCCTTCCACACGTAGATCTTCAGGCCCCCCTGGTCCAGGATGTAACAGTCCTAGAGGTGGAGAGAAAGACTCTGAGGGAGAGCCTGACGGTGTGGCGGAGCTGGGCCGGGGAGCTCCTGGCACAGAAGTCTTCCCTCCCACACTGGCCTGGGCCCCTGGTGCTGCTCCTGCTTGAGGGTATGTGAGCACAGTGCAGAGGGCTTGGAGCTGGGGCTGGGGGCCTCCAGACCCTCTCACCTCGTGACTGAGCATGTCCTGTGTGAGTGGCCGTGTGGCGATTTCTCTGACCACCAGCTTTCCCTCTGAATCAGACACGCTGCAGGACAAAGATATGGCATAGACCAGGAAGGATCCCATGCCCCTCAGTCGCAGTGAAGTCCCCCAGCACCCAAGAGGGGCGCAGCCGGGTACTCACTGGTACAACCTGAGGGCGGCCTTGAGCGCAGGCTCCACCACGGTGTCAGGCACGGCTGCCTTCAGCTCCCTCCGCTTGCCCAGCACGTGGTTCATGACCTCCATCAGCTGCGGGGACGCCTTCTCATCCTCCCCATCCACGACAGCCACGTAGGTCCGCCCGCCCCGCTCCTGGTCTCGGATCTCCTTGGCCAGAGTCATGCTCTGCAGGGAGGCCCCGAGTGACCCATGAAGGCTGGCATGGGACAGGGCGGCCTCCACCACCCCAAACCATGCCAGGAGATCCCAGCCCACCCTGCAGCAGTCCCGATGGGTGAGGCACCTCCCTGCTCCTCCTCTTTGAGGGGGGCCAGGCTTTTAAGGTGCGTGTGAGGAAACCAGGTGAAAACCCACTGGGAAAGCAGGTTTCCTCACTGGCAAGAGGGTGTTTCTGATGGACTTCGTGGGCTTTCGGTTTCAGCATTGTCTGAAATTTGTGATTTTACTTTGTAGTTTTGTTCAAAAGCTAAGCCCTGAAGGTTACAGTACTTAGCCTCTTTGTTCCTAAGCATGCCTGAACACATGCAGACACACACACACACAAACACACACACACACACACACACAGCCTCATGTGTGCTTACACACATATGCACAAGCACATACACACCCACATGTATCCAGGCAGCCATCTCTCATGTCCTCACACAGACACACACCCCCCAGGATGAACAGTCCACATGTGCTCACACACACATAGACGCACATGCAGCACACTTGTCATGTGCTCACACACAGGTGCACACACACACTTGCACACACCCCAGCTCACCCTCCTCTGCCCAACGTCTACTATTCTGTTACTGGCATTTGGGTCCCAGGCCCCCCCTCTCTCCGCTCCCTCCCAGGCGATCTCACTCAATCCCAGAGCTTTTATGCTCAGGCCCATATCTCTGTCTCCAGCCCAGCTCTCCACTCTCATCTTGTTTATCCAACGTGCATGATAGCCCCATTTTAAGATGTCCAAAACAGAACTCTAGATTTTCTCCCCAAATTTGTTGTTTCCTGATCTTTCCCATCTCAGGAACAGGGGATCCATTCATCCCCATAATTGCTGAAGCACAACGCTCTGAGTTCTGCCCGGCCCCTGTCTCTTCACCCTTCATCCAACACACAAGGCCAGTGGATTCCACTTCCCGGTTCTCACGTGGTGAACAGAGAGCTCCCTGAGTCCTCCTAGCCCTTCTTCCCTCTTTCGTCACTCAGAAGTCAGAGTGACCTTCAATAGCCTCCCAGGCACTGAGAACAAATCCTAACCCTCTTATACGGCCTTCTGACCACGTAATATGCCCCTATGAGACCTGCCCGCCTCCTCTCCACACTCCCTGAAATCCACATCTCATGCTCTGGCATCTCCCTACCAGCCCAGCCATTTCTCTCCTGCTTTAAGGCCTTCTCTTTCCACCTCTACCCCGTCCCAGAAGCCTTCCCAGAACCCACAGAACTGCACTCCCCACCCCTCGCTTATCAGTTACCCCCTTTATGTTTGTGCCCCCCCAACCCCCGCCACCACTGGACAGCCAGATGGAGGCCAGAGCCAGGGCAGGGCTCTGCCCACTTCATTCACTGCTGGATTTCCAATGCTTGGCACCAGGTGTGCCACACAACAGACTCATGAAATCTCAGTAGATTAGCCACAAATATGCCCATGCCAACTCCAATGTGCATACCTCTCTCCATACACATGGAGACTCAGACCCACCTGCAAACACCTGCCCCGGGCAGTCAGGGGAGAGAGAGGCCTTGGGGATATGACAGCTGGCTTGGGGTGGCATTAGTCTGGCAAGTCTGACTGTTGGGGAGAGCAGGTGCTGCTGTGCAGGAGCAGGTGGGGCAGGGTGGGACTTGGGGGAGGGGCGCTGCATGGGCAGAGTTTACCCTGAGTCTCTCCATGCGGTTACTTTCTGGCCCGTTCCACTGGATGATAAGCTTCCCGAGGTCCAGGAGGAAAACATCCCCACGGTTGAAGCTCTTCCAGGACATTTCCACCTGGAGAGCCATGGGGGAGGTGCAGACCCCACTCAGACCCCGTCCACCATCCATCATCTCTTCCCGCCCCTCCCCACCCCTCACCCCACCTGGGCCTCTGCCCTGCACCCAGACTGAGAAGGGACAGGAGGCCATGCCCTAGAGCCCTGTTCAATGCCCACCTCTCTGGCCACCACGTTCCTCCTTGACGTGCAGTAGCCGCTGAACCTCACTGGAGTTGGTCTCCACGTGCTTCATGCCAGAAGCCACACCTCCTTTCTGGATCCTGAGAAACGAGGTGAGCCAAGCTGAGAGAATGAGCTGGGAGGTGTGACTGGACTCTGCCCTTCCAGATCCGGGGTACCTGGCTATCACTGGGGCCATCTGAGGGCTAGGGCTGGGACTAGCGTGAGGTCCATGAGGTACCTCAGGTGCAAACTTCAAGGAGATAGTCACTCTCAGAGTCATTCAAGTGCAAGGTCAGTCTATTGCCCACATTTGCATGACCCTGGCAGTGAGTGCCTCCTTAAAATTTGCACCCTAGACCCCTCACTCACCCAACCTTAGTCCCTCTGCTGCTGAGAGGCCTGCAAAGACAGCTTCATGGTAATGTGGTAATGTGGTAACGTGGAAGGAAAAGAGGTAAGATACCATGCACTGAATTGCGTTCCCTCCTAAACTCATATGCTGAAGCTCTATCCCCCAATGTGATAATATTGGAGGCGGGGCCTTTGGGAGGTAATAGATTTAGATGAGGTCAGGGGGGTGAAACCCCCACGATGGGATTAGTGCTCTTATAAGAAGAGTAAGATACCAGAGAGCTTGCTTACTCTCTCTACCATGCGAAGACACAGTGAGAAAGTGGCTGTCTGCAAGCCAGCGAGAGAGCCCCTCGCCAGCAATCAAATAAGTTGGCACCTTGATCTCAGACTTGCCAACCTCCAGAATTATGAGAAAATTAATTTCTGTTGTTTAAGCCACACAGTCTATTCTTTATTTTTTGTATTTTCTGCATTTTTTTCTATGGCATCCCGAGCAGACTGGGACAGGAGAGGTGCCAGTGCAAATGGATGCTGCTCTAAGTATGGGAAGAATGGGAGGAAGACAAAGCAGGAGGGAGACGGGGGACTGTGGCTACCTGGAGAGCTCCCGGCCTATCCTATAGATCAGTAGCAACTTGGCTCCTAACTGTGTGTTTCCATGGGCATAGCCCAGAGGCTAGAACTTCACGCTTTTCAAGAAGAGCTAGAAATCTGGGCTTTTAGTGTGAAAGGAGAAAGGAGCAGTCATTCGCCCAGTGGTCAGAGGGGAGACTTCCTGTGATGCCCTGGAGGGCCTCCTTCGGCACTCCAGGGCATCCAGATGGAATCGACTCACAAAAATTCAGGGTACACAGAGTTATAGAATTTTAGAACAGCCTTTGGGGAGCCAACGACAACATTTAGAGGGATGAAAGAACAAGGCAGCCACAGAAATGGGGGTGGGAGAGCAGACAGATGAACACGAATGAGCCTCGTGGCCGCCCCGTACACGCTCTGACTCCTTTCCCAGCTTCGGCTCTGCGCTCTCAGCCTGGGGTGTCCCTCCCCTGCCCTGGTCCCACACCCCAGTCTACAGCACGCCCCTCCATACACAAGGCCCTGCTTGAAGTAGCCTCGGAAGGCCTCGCTCTCATTGCCCTGGACCTCACGGTGCTGGACGGCCCGGCCCTTCAGGAAGTCGTCCATCTGTGTGGTGTAGATGGCAGCTGCCCCTTGCTCATCCTGAGACGAGGCCTGGCCAATCCAGTAGTGGATGTCATAGGACAGGTTGCTGCCTGTCTTGTGGACCTAGGGAGAGGGATTTCCAATGTACCTGAGGCCCTGGGCTCCCATAGCCCTCTCCCAGCTTCCTGCTTTGCATGGTCTCCCATGCACATGGGGCCTGGGTCACAGATGAGCCCAGAGTGGTGGCCCCAGCTGCTCAGAAGGTGTCCTATGACTATAAATCCACCGAAGGTGGACTTAGCTGGGAGCTCAGTGACCCAAAGGCAGGGAGAGCCTCTTACATGTCTGATCCTACAGAGCTGCTACTGAGCTGGGCACCTGGGCACACACGGTAAGGACTGTCTTTGGGTGAAGCCAGTCCAGCTCTTCCCACTGCCCCAGACTCAAGTGTCCTCCCTGACACCACAGTGGGCTTTGTTCTTTGCTCAGCCCCCTCCCTGCCCACCCCTCACTCACAGCCAGGACTACGTAGCAGTCACCATCGTAGAAGCTGCCAAAGGTGCCAGGAGGAACAGGCACCATCTGCATAGCCTAGGGAGAGAAGGGACATCAAAGGGGCTGCCCTGGACCACCCACGACCTCCACTTCCATCCTTAACCACAGTGAGACTTGGAGAGGCAGAGAGCCCGGAAGAAGAGGGCGTGACAAAGCTGACAAGGAGAAGGAGTATGAGGAGCGGGGTAGGTAAAGGAGCATGAGGAAGAGGCTGATGCCCGAGGAGAGGGGAAGAGTCTCTTGGGGACAGTAACCAGGGGCTCACACGCCAGCAAGGCAGGATTGGAGGACAATAATCCCAGGCCTCGTTCTCCCCTCAGTCCTCCCCCACCTCCCGTGCCCAGGCAGGCCTCACCTCGATCCTCCATATCTGCACCCCGGGGGTGGTGACGTTGAGAGAGCCTTTGACTTGGGCGCTCAGTTTGGTCATGGCGATGAGCCTAGGGGGGAAGTGGTTGGGAGCAAGGACTGAGGAGCTTGGGAGCACCCTGGGGTTCAGGTACTGCTCTTCCAGTCCAGCCTTGAGAGCTCCCAACAGTGCCTGGAGGCCAGAATCCCCTGAGGGGAGGAGAGGGCTCCACCCTGGGCCCCGATGGGCCAAGGGCGGAGACCCAGCTGATCTTGCCACTTTCTTCCTCAAACACCCACCCTGACTCCCCATCACCTTCTGGATAGAGCCGTCTCTCCTTAGCCCGTCACTCAAGGACCTTCTTTAGCCCCTAACAATTTTTCTTTTTGAAAATTTTTATCAAAGCTGTGCTCGCTTAAAAAAAAAATCAGAGTTTTTTTGTTTTTTTGTTTTTTTTTTAAGGAAAGCAAAAATAATAAGGGCTGAAACGTGTATGCACCCGAAAGAATGGGAAAAGCAGGTGTTCAAACAAACACTTGTACATGAAGTTCATAGCCGCCTTATTCACAATAACCCAAAAGGTGGAAACAATCCAAATGTCCATCAACAGATGAATAGAAGAACAAAAGTTTGTATATTCACACAATAGAGTATTATTCGGCCATAAAAAGTACTGATACATGCTACGACGTAGATGAACCTTAAATATTATGCTTAATGAAAGAAGCCAGATTCAAAAGGCCATGTATGACTCTATTTACATGAAATATTCAGAATAGGCAAATGCATAGAGATAGCATGGTTTTTAGCGGCTGAGGGGAGGAGGCAATGGGGAGTGACTGCTATTGGGTATGGAGTTTCCATTCGAGATGATAAAAAATATTCTGGATCTAGAGAGAGTGGTGATGGTTGTGCACCATTGTGAATGTGTTAACTGCCACCGAATTGTACACTTTAAAGTGGTTAAAATGGTAAATCTTATATGTATTTTTCCGCAATAAAATCTTGTGTGCAACAGTTTCCTCTTCCTTCCCAGCTACCCCCAAACACTCCTCAGTCACTGGTCTGGTGGCCCACAAGATGTAGCCCCCACAGGACTGGGGGCCAGGTTTTTTTGTTCAGTACTGAATCCTCAGCATCTAGCACAGTGCCGGGACTTTGCTGGGTGTGTGGGGGTGTGGAGTGTATGTGTTGGGGGTGGGGTGGGGTTGGTGGGTGGATGGATGGATAGATGGATGGATGGATGGATGGATGGATGGATGAATGGATGGATGGATGGAAAACAGAGTGAACCCTCTCACTGAGAACCACCCTCCACCCACTGAGCTATAAGAAACCTACCTCCCCAAGCTTCTTTCATGGTATTTTTCAGGGCGTTTTCGGTTTTGACCTGCAACTGTGTTCTCCTCTCTAGCTGCTTATCAGAATCATTGGGGAGCTTTTAAACAATACTGATGCTCCAGTGAACAGGCCAATTCCCCAGGGATTCTGATTTAACTAGGCTAAGGTGGGGCCCAGGCATGGGTATCTTACTTTCTGACTTTTGAGAGGCGAGGCAAGGCATGGGTCCTTTTAAGACTCCCCAGTGATTCTGATATGAGCCAGGGGAGAGAACCACTTGTCCCCACTTGTTCTCATCCCTGGCATCCTGTCTCTTCCCACCAGGCTGGAAGCCACCCCATTCCTCACCGATCCCACCACCCAGCCTGGCACCGAGTCGCCCTCCATGAGCGCTCCTTGAACATAATGAATGAAAGGTCATGTGGCCCTCACAGATAGCCTGGAATCTATCTAATCTCTCTCTGCACCTTGACTCTGAGTTGCCTCTTGGAACAATGACCTGGCTTTATACTGCTCATAAACTCCCTCTTCTGAGTCCCAAGGAGTGACCCCTCGCCCTGGCATTCTGGAGTTTGGGGGCACAATCTCCCTCCCCAGCATCTGATTAGCGCCCTCTCCAGAAGAACAGGGCCACCTGCCAATGTCCAGCTCTGAGCTTGCAGGAGCCCCTGGTGCCTGAGTCCTGCCTGCTGGCCCTGCCAGGAGTGTCCTCCTCTGTGGGGCCAACACACAGGGACCACAGTGCCCTCAGGACTCCTGGTTCAGTAGAACTGATTTGGGTACAAAGAAAGAGAATGTTTGTTTAGTTTCAGTCACCACTTTGGTCGACATCTCCCTTTCTCTAAGACAGACTCTTTGACTCTCACAAGCTGTATGAACATGGACCCCGTTTCTTCATCTATGAGGTGGAGGGGTCAACTGGATGATCTCTAAAGTCCCACCAGGGACGTGCTCTGATTCTAAGATTGACTAGCAGGAGGAATAGAGGAGACGTTGGAGGAGAGATTCGGGGTAACAGGGACTTGAAAAATTGGGTGCTCTACCTCTCTAGAGAGAAATCAGGCTTGGGGACCGCCAGCAGCCTGAATAGAGAAGTGGGAGCCTCCTCACGGCCAGGGGTGGGCAAGGGGATTCTGGGAAGATTGGCTCCAAAAGCCCCCCATGCCTGCAGACTCTGCCCCCACCAACCTGAGGACACCTGAGTAGGCTCCCGGGAAGGGGGTAGTCTGTGTGTCCCAAGACTCTTGTCCAAACTTGGCTGTTGCCTCCCTTACTCCCCATTTCAGCTAAATGGGACCACAGTGGCTGGTGAGGCCAAGGGGACAGGTCCTGATAGAGAGGAGATGGGACAGACACCAGCCCTCTGCCTCTGCCTTTGCCCATTTAATTCCTGATGGCTGTTGTTCACACCCTAGGATCCGGGAGACAAGAGCCCTGAGGTCCCAGGAGTGTCAGGGGAATGGTGACATAAAGAAAGAAATCATTTCAGATGAAGAAGAAATGGGTAAAGAAATGGGGTGGGGTGAGGTCAAGATGACCAATTGGTCCCAGTTCGCCCAGGACTGTCCAGGTTTTAAGTCTGGAAGTCCCATGTCTCCAGGTTTTCCTCAGTCCAGGGCAACCTGGGATGGTTGACATCTGGAGTGGGGCGGGGGCTAGCGGCAGGTCTGAAAGAGCAGCTGTCTGGGGTGGAACCTGCACGATTCTTTCCTCAGAGGCCCAGGAAGCCACGCTGGGCGCTGCGCTCTTCCAGACTCTCCAGAGTGCCAAGCCTCTCCCTTGTGCCACACCAAGGTTCTCCAGGAGGCCCCAGGTTGCCAGAGAGAAACACGGGCCCCTATACCTCTCCCACCACCTACGGTCCTTGTGCGTCCCAGCAGGGTTGCCTTACCTGGTTGGAGGAGGCGGCTGCCACCTGGGAGATCTCAGGGAGTTGTGGCAAGCTGGCTGTAGGAGAGCGACCTTTGTCCCCCACCCCCCCCCTCGGCTAGGAACTGCCTTCACCATATAAGGGAAGATAGGGCCCTAGAGAGAGAAAGGGAATGGGTGAGGGGGTGGGGAGGCAGGTGCCCGCCAGGTCCCTGAGAGCCCAGAGCCCAGCGACAGCCTAGCAGCCAGAGCTGATGTGCCCCACCCTTGGCTGCCAAGAGAGCTTCCAGGAATGCAGTCCATTTCTGCCCAGGGCCCAGACCCTCACGGCAGGTGGATAGCACTGGCCAGTGAAGGCAGGGGCCCCTGGGTGCTTCTTCCTGCCAACCCAGAGGAGGCGGCTTAGGGGTCCTCCCTCCTTCCCTGGGAGAATGGCTCATGGGGCAAGGGCGCCCCAGACCCATGATGTAGGGCCAGGGGTTCACACTTGGGGCACCTCCAGGACCGATGGGACCCTGGCACCCCGAAGGTCTCTTCTCCCAGGCATGACACTCGCTCAGAGGGGACCTGAGTGTTCTTGCCCCACTTTCAAGGGCATTGGCTCCACCTGGAGTTTTTATGAGCTGCCATAAACCAGTGCCTTTGGACTCTGTCTGCCACTCTGCCTCAGCAGCGTTTCCTTTTCGGACCCCCGATCCTAGGGGAACCATCTCATTCGGGACAGGAAAGGAGCACAACTCTCTCAAGCACGGAATTTGGCTTTGCCCACAAACTCAGCATCCTGGGCAGCTACCTTCCAACCTCCACCCCTGCAGAAATTCTCTCACCTCTGAACTCTGGTCCTCTGGCAGGTGAGATGAAGTGGGCTGGGCGAGGGCAGCCTCTCCTCCCGACCACACCTTCCTGAGTTCTATGTGTGCACACAAGTGCGTGCGTGAGTAAACAAACTGCAGGGGATGTTTTGCTTTTTAAAATAACACCCTTTTGTGAATAAAAAGTATATATTTATACTCAATTATACAAAAAAGCAAAAAAGAAAGAACTCAGCTATAATTCCACTGCAGAGATAATCTATAGATTATCTCTCAAATATTTCTTTCAAGTCATTGTCCAGTCAATACGTTGTGTGTGATTGCTATATGTACATAACATCGATTGATCTGCATATGTATACTTTTTTACTGGGACGTGTTATGTGATATTTTGCAACTTCATTTTAACTGTCCCATGGCAATCCATTAGATAGAGAGCATAGATTAGTAACCAATAGCTCATTTTTTGACTTCCAAATTATACCCAATTGTTAATACAAAGAATGCTGTGACAAGTATTCTAATTGCTAAATCTTTGCCATTAGATGAGTTATTTCTTTAGGATAAACTCCTAAAAGTGGGATTGCTGGGTCAAAGATGTGAACAGATAAATCATCTTCCAGAAAAGTCACATTAATTGATAGTCTCGTGTTCAGCACAGGAGGCCTGTTTCGCCACATTCTTCCCAGCCCTGGGCTCCAGCTTTTAAGAAAATCTCTGTCAGTTTAAATGTCAAAAAGAAAATCATCATTGTATTGATATATATTTCTTTGATTACCAGTGGGATAGACCATTTTACATATATATTTATTGGCTCTGTCCTCTTTGTGAATTTTCAATTAATTTGTTGAGTTACGTGTTGAATGTATTAAGGTTGGCAACCTGCCTGTCATTTACGGGGTATTCTGTTTGTCTTTTAATTTAGCCTCAGGATTTTTTAGGACAACCTATGTTTTTAAAAATTGTTTCCAATTTCTTTATTATGATAAATGTCAAACATAGAAAAGTATAACATAGAAAAAGTACACTAGAATAATAATAAACACCCATGGACTCAAGAATTAAAATTTGTCATATATATATATATATAGAAGTTACAGATATCATAATATTCAACCCAAAATATTTAGTGTATCACACATCTCCTAAGAATTAGAACACTGTCCTTCATAACTGTAATACGATTTTCTTCTGACAATAATACAAATTATTTCTAATATACTTTCTATTCAGCCCATGGTCAAATTTCTCTAATTGTCCTCTCAGGGACTTTAACAGCTGTTTTAATTAATTCATAGTCAAATCAAGATCATGCATTTCCTTTGACTGTTACTTTTCTTTAGTATTTTTTTTCACATTCTATATATGTATTTTCCTTATCCCACAGTGAAAATCTTGGTTTTCAGACGTTAACATGTTTACCTGTCATACAATAAACACAAAATAGTTTCAGAAACACAGCAACCAATAACACTGTCAATAATAAACCTACTAAGTAAAGTTCTTTGCAATTCTTTTGATATTAAGATATAGCCTATTAAGCGTATATAGTCTTATCTTCAGTATTTTTTAAATCTAGAAGTCTTCCAGCTTTTTTTTCTATGACATTGACTTACCTGAGTCAAGGACAGTGGTCTTGTAGAACGTTCACACTGTAGATTTGTCTGTTTTTCTTTATTATTTAATTTGTTCCTCTTCCTCCTGTATTTCCCACAAACCGAAAGTACCTCTAAAGGCTTGATAAGTTCTCGTTAAATGATTTTTTTGAAGAATACTTGAAAAAGGCCAGTGCTTCTCAAACTTCAATATTGTAAGAATGATCTGGGAATCCTTTTAAAATGCAGAATCTGATTCGCTACGTCTGGGGTGGGGCCTGAGGTTCTGCATTACTAACAAGCTCCCAGGTGTGGCTGATGTGCCGGTCCATGGGCAAAGGTGATGCTGTGTACTTCACATTGCATCACATCGGGAGGGATATGATGTCAAGCTGCCCCAGCACAGGTGATGCGAAGTTTGCTCCCTTGGTTACTGCGATATTCCCACTGTAAAGGCACATTCTCCCCATTGCAATCGGAAGTCATCCTGGGGTGTAGTTTGGCACTGGAAGTACAAAAGTTTTTGATTTTTTATTTGCCACTTTCTACTTGTTTTATAATATTCATTTTGTAATTGCTTTTTTAACGTCTGATTTTTCCCACATTGTCTTTAGCTTGCTGCTGCACCCTAGTGCCTGGTACAGAGTAGGCATGCAATGTTTGAAGGAAAGAAATGTAATTTATGATTTCTAGTTTGTTAGTATGTTTAAAGCTGTACTTTTAACTTTAAACTGATTTTTATTTTAAAAAAATTAATAAATGCATCTGATAAAATAATTCAAAATACAAACAGATATACAGTAAAAATGTATCCTTCTCATGTTAGATGACTCCCATCCAGTCCCCCAACCCTGCTCCCTAAGATTAGCCACAATTCCCATTTCTTGTTACCCTACTGAAGTACACAAAAGTATATATGTATATTTGTGTCTATTTTTACATTTCTCTTTAGCGGGAAGACACCATCATTATTGTTATGAATCTTGCTTTGTTTCATTTACTGTTCTATCTCAGAGATCATTCTATATCTATTCAGATAGTTCTACTCATGACTACATGGTATTCGCTGGCATAGAAAGAGCAAGATTTATTTAACCAGTCCCTCGCTGATGGACACTTAGGTTATTTCTAGTTTTTAGCAATTACAAACAAGGATGCAATTAATACCCAGATATATAGAAAGTTATATGTATGTACACTTTATCTGTAGCATAAATTTCTAACAGTGGAATTGTTGGATCAAAGAGTATCTGCATTTTAAAAATTTTTTTGATAGATATAAAATTACTCTCCAAGAGATTGCACCAGTTTACACTTCCACCAGCAGCATTGTTATCAGGTACCCGTTTCCTCGCGCGTGTGTGTGTGTGTGTGCGCGCGCGCGCATGTGCATGTGTGTGTGTGCGTGTGCGTGTGCGTGTGTGTGTGTGTGTGTGTGTGTGTGTAACAGGCAAATAGTTAATATCTGTCCCATACCAGGCTTGGTTAGAGGCATTTTCACAGCTGACATCTCGAAAGCCTTCCTCCCTCCTGTCTACTCATGTCCCGAGCCAGCCAGCCACAGCTTCCTGCCAAGTTTATCTCGTATCTCACATCCATCCCTTCTTCCTTCTCTCTTCCCTCTGCCTCTGCCCCAGTTCAAGTCTTCATCTTCCATCCTCCCTGGCTGTGGTCTCCCAATAATATCCCCCATCCCAGATCCCTGGTTTAACTTCCAATGTGCGGCTTCCAGGTGTCCCTCCAAGGCACCCACTGCCTGCAAGAAAAAAAGGCCACTCTCTTGGTCTGCCTTAGGTCTGGATTATCTGGCCCTTCCTGCCTTCCGCAGGGTCATTACTCATGCTTCCCTTCTATGTACAATTCCAAAATTGTCATTTCCCACACGACTGCGGCTGGACCCTGGCACTTTTGTTTTCTTTCTGGTGTACCCCCTCACTCAGGCCACCTTCACTTGAATTGCTCCTCCTTCCCTAACTCTTAGGAGCTTAACTCCCTCAGGACGCATTTTCCAAACCTTCCATGGCCACTCCAGGCGTGGCTGTCTGTGCTTCCAGCCTTCCATGTTCTCTCTGGGGCTACCTTTGCAGCGTTTAGGTTTTAGATAGACTGTTCAGGTGTCTTTCTCCACACTGGGGTGTGAGTTCCTTGAGAGCAGAGGCATTGCCTAGTCATGGTGTCTCCCCGGGCCTGGCACCGTGCCTGGCACACAGGAAGCGCAGACACCTGTGGTTGACTTGAACTTTATGTGGGTGAAGGGTGTGTGGGTGGTGGGAAGAGGCTGACTGCAGTGTCATTCATAGTTGGGAGCCCTGGTGACTCCCTGACCTGTGTGATGCAAATCTGGGGGACCAGTGTTTGCATTGAGAACAGGAAATCCAGGAGGACCCCGAGGAAGAGGATAAAGGCAGAGGAAGACAGGTCACTCTCAGAGACTTGGGGGCAGAACAGCATCTGGGGCACCGGGAGGCAGGCATGAGGTTGGATTCATAAGGGGATGAGGGAGGGGTGGGAGGAGGGGACAGGGACCGATCTTTGAGAGGGGTCGATCTCCCTCCTCCCCTGTGTGTGTGGTGGAAGGGGGTGTGGAGTCGGGGGGGCAGAAGCTGCCCACCTCCGGGAAGAGGAGTGAACGATCCCGGTGTTCATCTTTCCAGCCCCCGGGGTAGAGGAGGGGTCAGGCCGAGAGGGCCCCGCGCCGGGGAGTCCCGGCGTCCGCGAGGACAGAGAGGCCTCTAGTGGCCACCGTGGGAAGGAGGGTAGGGAGGGCCGGGGCGGGCCGGGAGGGCACTTCCTGCCAGGGTCTGCCCAGTTTTGCAAAGGAAGTGCTGCCAGGGCCGGAGGGGCGGGGGCAGGAAGTGGGCGGGAGACTCATGCTAGGGCGCGGCCAGCCGAAGGCCGCGGAGAGGCGGACAAGGGAAGGGGGCGCGCAGGGGAACGGGACCGAGCGCCTGTCCCACCCAGTTTCTCCAGCGTCCCTGACGCCTCAGCCTGCCAGCTCTTCCCGCGACACCCCCGGGGAGGCCCACGTCAGCCACGTTCAAAGTTCTTACGTTGGAAGTTGAACTTCCCTTCCCAGTAACTCGTCCCGCTCCCACCTCCACCCTCTGGGGCCTCACGAGCCCCTCCCCTCCACTCCGGGGGACAGACCACACCCCTCCCGTCTCCAAATACCTTCCAGGGGCCTCTCCTAGGGACGCCTTTCAGTTCAGCTTTAGAGCTACTCCTACGAGTCCTCCAAGCATTTAATCAACTCTGCAAAGGGCCGAGCTCCACTCTGCAGATCACATAACTGAGGCTGAGCGAGGTAGAAGAATTAAATAGTACTCAGATCCAAGTGGTGCGCTTAACCTTGCACTTTCGCACTTGAACACCCAGGGGCCTGGGCAGCTCCTCCTCCACTAGCACTTCCCGCCCTCCAGAGTTTGCAGAAGTGGGGTGTGGCTTCGTAGGAAACACAATCACTCCTCCCACTTCATCACCCCCCCCCCAATAACCACAGAGGCAGGATGGGGGATCTGGCTTTCTCTTTAGTTCTCATCAAACTGAGGGGCTCTCCATCACAGAGAAGGCACTTAGATGGGAGGGTCACTCGATTCAGACCAGCCATGTCCTTCCCACCCCCAGATTTCTGGGGGGGGGGGACAATGACATCTCCATTTGACACTCCTCTTGGCACTGGTATGTGGGTCCCCTTAACCATTAGGCCCTGGGGAGAGCCCAAGGCCTTGACTTCCAGACTCATCATTTGGGGGAAGGGTTCCAGATAAAGGAGGCAGAACTGGAAGGCAGGATGTCCTGGGAACTGCCCCCAGCCAGCAGAGAATGAGGCAGAGGGCTGCAGAGAGTGGGTTGGCACAGTGGAGGGGGACAGCTTCGCAGGAAGACCCCCAAATCCCAGAAGGGTCCCACCTCCTACAGATCCCCTAAAGGCATCGGTGAAGTACGGGGTTGGTGGGGGAGGCACCGCTTAGGCGGTACAGAGACCCCACACACAGTCAGCTGGTTGGCCTAGCACAGGCTGGGCATAGAGAAGGTGCTCAATAACTGTTTTGAATGAATGAATGAATGAATGAATGAATGGAGCAAAGAGGGTGTCAGGGACAGAGGGCTGGGCCTGGGGCCTCTTGGCCCAGCTTGTCTCATTGAGGAAATAGCAGTTTAAAAAATGTAAAAATCCTTTCCCTCCCTCCCCACAATTTATGGGCACAGGAAAAGGGTGAGGAAGGGGTGTCTCTAACCCAACCCTTCCCTCTCTCCTTCCCCTAAAAATCTATATACACATATACATATTTATATGACACCTCAAAGGGGTCCTGATATGCCCCCACACTCAAAGCTGGAGGAGCCAAGACCCAGGGCCTTGGGAGGGGTCAAGGTGAGTGTTGAGGGGTGAGGGCGTGGGTGGTGTGGGGAGCAGCCGTCAGCTGCTGAGCCCAGAGAAGCTAGACTCTGGGCCCTAAAAAACAGACCCCTGTTCCCTTCACAAGTAGTAACAGATCTTCTACCCTCCCGCCCACGACGTCTAGGCAGAGATGGGGGGAAGGGCTCTATCAGTCCCCAGGGAGCAGGTGGGGAGACTGGTTCCTCTCCCACCAGCATCCTAGAGGTTGTTCCAGGCAAGAGCTGACCTGATTTGACCCTGGGAAAACCAGGTGGGGAAGAGGGCTCTATGGAAGGCACTTGGTGTCCACTGTTCCCAGGCTGGGGGCCCAAGGCATGGGGCAGCAGGAACCCTGCCCCTCCCCCATGCAGAACTGGAAAGGGCCGAGGGGCCCAATGTGGCAGCAGAGAAACATGGCAGCACAGAGAGAGAGAAAGGGGGAGCCGCACACTGGGCCCCACAGGTCCCTCGAGAAGAGGGAGGAGGTTCTAAGGCACTGACACGGGACCCAGGTGCTGATTGGCCTCACTGCGGCCTGCTGCCTGCCCGCTTCGCTGCCCAGCCAGGCTGGAGGGGGAGTGGCCCACTTCCCCATGGCACTGCGGTGGCCCAGGCTGCTCGGTTTTCTTAAGGAGAAGTCCACGAACGAAGGGTGTAGCTGTGGTCAGGGGCAGGTCCTGGCCCCAGGGCGCCTCACTAGCTGCCAGGCCGTGGCTGCCTGAGCACTGAATACACGTCATCCACGCGGCTAAGCTGCTCGAAGAAGGGCAGGAGGTCGTGGAGCTCCGTGTCGTTCATGTTGTCGAACCATGAGGCCACTGGTACCTGGGCAGATGGGCATAAGGTGGTGAGGGGGACAGGTGGCCCTGGGTGCAGAATGTCCAGACCAGCCCTAAGCACCCACCGCTCGGTGGGCCACCTCTTGGAAGCCTCTTACCCACAGTTTTCAAACATTTTGACAGCAGCCCCTGATAAATCACATTTACATATATAACAAAGCAAAAGTTTTACAAAATGGTACTTAACCTTACCGTATACGCTCCGAGATTTCTTATTCATTTTTTTAAAAAAATCCCAACTAGGACCCACTAAATTATTTCTGTGACCCATTAACTAGTCACAGCTGTCACCTAGAAAAACTACAACTGCTCCAATGCCCAGCAGGGACCCCAGCCCTCTACACACAGAATGGACCAAATGACTAACTACGAGGCAAGCAGACACAGGTCAATGAGCAGAGAGGGAGGAACGGAAGGGCACCAGGCCCGGACACTGCCCAGCCTGGGAGCGGGAGGTCAAGGTGGCCCAATGCACTGACCCCTTTCTCGGATCTCAGCCCCCTACCCCGGTCCCGTGAAGCACTCACGGCATTGTCTGGATGGAACACGTAGGAGGCGGGCGAGTTGTCCAGGATGAGCACTCGACGGAGGTCTCGACCCAGCCTGCTCAGGTCCTTCACATAGTTCCCTCGGTGGAAGACGCAGGACTCACGAAACAGCCGTGCCCGGAAGGCCCCCCATTTGTCCAGCAGGTCAGCTACTGGGTCGGCATACTGTAGGTGGGAGGTAAGTCATCTGGGGCCGAGGGTGACCCAGAGGTCACTGCCCAGAGGTCACATGCTGGAGGCAGAGGGAAAGGCAGGATTGTCCCAGGAACCCGTCAGAATGTGGGGAGGTTCACCTTGGCCAGGCTGGCGGTGAACAGCACACACTCAAAGAGCTCGCCCATTCGCTGCAGGAACTCATCGACGTGGGGCCGCTTCAGCACGTAGACCTGGGGGGTGGGCCAGTGAGGGGACTGCTGGCCCACAGGCTGGGGCTGGGGGCTTGGTGGTTGGGGGCTAGGAGGGAGCTGGTGGAGGAGGCAGAGGAGCACAGGGGGCAGGATGGTTGCAGGCCAATCGGCCAATCACCCCAACTGCTGCGGGGGAAACCGCCACCCTCCCAGAAGAGGATCAAACTGAACCTCTGACTCCAGGCTTCCGGCCCTATGTCAAGGGAACTCACTAATTCTCATCCCCTCCTGCCATGGCCTCGGCCAAATGGAGGAGCCTGGGGGCAGCCCCCTTACCCCAAGGCTGCAGGGCACCGGCCCCCGAGCCAAGTAATGGAGAACAGGCTGGATGGCACACAACCTATCCTGAATTACTTGAACTGGGTCCCGGGCAAGGTGGGGCAAGGGGACGCCAAGGAGAACCCCTCTCTCTGCAGGCCTTAGAGTCAAGACCCTAAGGATCTGTGTGACTTCAGGCAAGTTTCACACCCTCTCACCGCCCCTGACATTCCACAGCTATCAAAGACCTACACAGGGGACTCTCAGGATCGGTGGGAAGAGCCTGGGGTTTGAATGGCAGATGCCAAACCCACCGCCTCCCCCCAATACCCAGCCTCTGACCTGGTGGACCACCCCATCGATCTCCACAGGGATGATGAAGTCCGCATTGTTCACTGGCTGTAGGGAGAAAAGAGCGGCTGAAGCTGGGGTTAGCGCAGATCCCCTCAGAAACCCTGGGGCTGGGGGCCGCTGGGCAGGGCCCACCTTAAAGGAGCTGTGCACCAGGGTCTCGTCCAGGTCGATGACCACGCAGATCTTGTCTGAGTCCTGGGCCTTGGCCTCTGGGAGCAGGTACTGCACTGGGCTCTGCTGTGGGGATGGGTGGGGCTGGCTGGAGGCGCCTCTCTCAGGCCCCAGTCATTTCTCCTATACAGGTCTTCCCTCCCCCAGCCCTCTACCTGGGGAGCCACCGGGATGTGGGGAGAGACCACCCCCTACTCAACTCTGACCCTGCTAACTCTGGAATCTGGAGCCTGGGGCAGGCCACCTGGCAATCTGGGCCTCACTTCCCCACCTGAGAAACCAAAGCAGAGAACAGCTTTCACCTATGATGGGGAAATTCAGAACTCCCTAGGTCAAGAAGCCCTCCCCTAGGTGGCAGTTTTGGAGCTTTCGGGGGCCAAGCTGGAGGACCTGGGAGGGCTCCACTCTCCTGCATACTTTCCAGGGCCTGCAGGCAGGTTATGAAAAGCCCTTTCCCCTAAACCCACTCGGGACTGAACCCGGCTGCCCATGCAGCCCCCACCTGGCCACCACGCACCTTGGGGACAGCTCCATTTTCCTCCACGAGCAGGGGTGCCCCACTGTGTGTGGGAAGGGCCTCCCCATCGTCCTTGCAGACACAGCAGAAAAGCGAGTGGAGGATGCCCCGGCTCCTGGGCTTCTGAGAAGCAGCTGACTTCTGGTCACCTGAAGTAGAGAGGCCCAAAGTGGAGGGGTGCACACCGGCCTGCAGAGGCGTGCATATGTGTCCAGGTGCCAACTCCTGGGCTTCGAGGGTCTGGCTATGCCCCCTTCACTGAGGGAGACACACTACGGTGGCTCCTGGCCAGCCCTCTGCTCCCCACAAGTCGTTTCAGCGCGGGTACGGAGTTACGCCCATCGGGGAGTCGGCTGGCTGGAGGGATATCGATACCGAGGGTACTTTCTCTTTTCCTCCCAGGCTCCATCACTGCTCAGGGATCGGCCCCACTGGGGGAGCCTCCAGTCACCCGCCTTACCCGAGCAGCCCCTGATCAATCCGGCCCAGAAGGGCCGGGGCCTGGAGCCCTGGGGCCCACTCCTGCCCTCCTTCCATACTTTCCGCCCCCGCGAGTCCAAAGTCCTCACTGAGGCTCCACGGAGACGCG